TATAACATCTCCTTTCACTGCTACGCCGATGATATACAACTTTATATTAGAACTGGAGCATCATCACCATCTTCACTTAATGCTTTCACTACCTGCCTGGAGGAGATAAGGAAGTGGATGACTCAGAATTTCCTTCAGTTAAACTGCTCCAAAACTGAGGCCATGCTGATCGGAACACCTCACCAGGTTCAATCTTCAACTATGACGACTGTTTTCTTTTCTGGACAAGACATCCCCTTTTCCACCTTAGTTACAAATCTTGGAGTTAGAATGGATTCTCAACTTACTTTTGAAAATCACATTAAGCATCTGTTTAAAATCTGTTTCCTTCATCTTCGTAATATCTCCAAAATTCATCCGTTTCTTTCTTTTTCTGATGCTGAGACTCTCATTCATGCATTTGTCTCCTCCAGGTTAGACTACTGCAACTCTCTGTTTGTTGAAATCCATAAAAAACATCTTCAGAAGCTCCAATACATTCAAAACAGCGCAGCCAGGATTCTCTTGAGGGCCCGCAAATCTGCCCATATTACACCTATTCTGCATGACCTTCACTGGCTTCCCATCACCTGCAGAATTCCATACAAAATCGCGCTCATCACCCATCAGTGTTTAAACGGATCCTCACCGGATTATCTGAAGGACCTCCTCACTCCACATTCATCCACCAGATCTCTTCGATCACAAGACTGCAACTTCCTTCACCTTCCTTGCTCCAGATTAAGGTCCATGTGAGATCGGGCCTTCGCTGTCGCTGCCCCCCGTCTCTGGAACTCTCTCCCAGATCATCTGAGAGCTCCACAACCACTGAATGATTTTAAAAGAGGCTTGAAGACTTTTTTATTTAAGCAAGCCTATTCTGCCTCCACATGATTTTTATGATGTTGATTTTTATCTTTGATTTTATTTGCACTGTGTAGCACTTTGAGATTTTTATTAATGACCACATGATTTTTATGATGTTGATTTTTATCTTTGATTTTACTGGCACTGTGTAGCACTTTGAGATTTTTGTTAATGAAAAGTGCGGTACAAATTGGATTTATTATTATTATTATTATTATTATTATTATTATATAAGATTATCAAAATTTAATAAATAATCTGTGTTAAGAAAGGGTCTTTTTACCATTTATAAAAGACAATTTTGTAAAGTATGTTTAAGCTGTGTTTCTTTTGTGGTTATTTAGCATGAGGTTTTTATTTTTCTTGGTTTGAGTTAAGGAAGCATGATATTGTTTATACACTACAAAAGCAGCTGGATGGTAGGCTTGTCTCCTTTAAAGCACTTCCAGGGTGAATAATCAAAGTTATGCCATAATTTCACAATATTGTAACATAAATTACTTCCATTTACAGTATCTTTTCAAAATAACAGCTGGATTATCCAGCAATACAAGCAGGACAACTTGAATGAAAAACAGGGAAGACATGATTGAGTCTTTTTCTATTATTGAGACACATAAAGAAACAGATACCCAAAGAGGACATTTAATCCGATGTTCCCACCCAGAGGCAGAAATTACGACACTCTCTGAGCAGCTGACAGCTCTTTCTGTATGGAGAAATGTTGCCCGTATGTCAGACCGCAGCTCATCAGCAGCAACCAGGCGGCAAAGCTTTAACAAGCCTTCCACCCCCTCATCATCTTCCTTTTTGCTGCTTCTGCTGCTGCAGTGTCAGGGACGTCTGAGAGCTTGAATGTAGGAACGTGCCTCTCGTGTTTGTGAGTTTCTTGTACCTCCACCGTCATGTCTTAGTATATATGGTTGGCTAATGTGGCAATAGGAGGCGACACAAAGCAACACAGTTTTTTGAAGCTTCATGGAGGGTTTCTGATGGCAGAAGTCTTGTCATAAAGCTCAGCAGTCCCACTATCTCTGCTGGAGGCTCTTATGTTACCTGAGACGAGAGGACACAGGTCAGGTCAGCTCAGATCAAACATGAGTGATGTTCATTAGTTCATATCAAACATGTCCGTGTCATTCAGGTTTCTGATCGTCATACTGATTTGTCTTCACACTGCCTCTAAACATTTTAAATCATTTCATATTAGTTTCAGTAAAAAGTAGAGTTTATCTCCACAGACAACATACTGAAGATGTTTTGCAGGCCAACACTAACCTGTGCCGTTTTGTCATCTAAACACAGATCCAGCCTGGTGATCAAGCTGAAATCATTGTGTCCTAAGCCAGAGACTAAGATTGACTTTATCAAAAGTGTGCATATATGACTACTTTAAAAAAATATTATTCTGAGGGGTTTGTTTTTGCTTTATTTGGAGAACTTTGTCATTTCAGTTTATTTTTATTGTTTCTGTATGCTCTCCATTTAGTAGTCACTATTGCCATAGGTACAATTAAAATCTAAAGTTTGTGTACACTATGGAAAGGACACACAGCTTTATTTCCTCAATGTTTGACATGAAATGAGACTTAATTGTTTCTTTCTTCTCAAATTCATTTCTATTTTCTTAAAACTTTTATAAATAAAACCCTTAACAATTAATGAATTTTATCATTTATTTCTTCAAATATTTTCTTTAGAATGTAGGCTTTGGTTAGTTTAGACTTTAAGGTTACGTCTGACAATCATTTTCTAGGATTTTGTCCCATTCCTCTAGGTGTAACAGGTCAGTTTTGTATGCTGCCTTTCATAAACCTCTTTAGATCAGCCCTCATGCTGAGACAGTGTTTGTCTAATGACCAGTCATGGCTTTGTTTTTTCTCTCCTTAAGCCAGTTTGGGCCTAAATTGGTGGTCATTATCTATTTGGAAGACCCTGTTATGAGCTCTGACTTGCTCCGTAAAGTCTAGAGATGTTTTCAAGAGTTCCAAATGATTCACTCCCCACATGGTGCTATGTCTTTTTGAAGTGCTGTAGCCCTTCCTGTAGCAAAGCATGATGAAAATGATGCTGCCACTCTCATACTTCACAGATGGCATTTAGGACATCAACATTTATTAGGCTAATCTCAGCAAATTAAAAAAAAGGAACATTTTGTTTTCTTTTATGTCAGCTAGGGAAAAAAATCATACAAAAATCCTGGTCATGTCTTAATTATACACTCAGAATCATTAAATGTTTTTATTTCAACAAAGCAAACCAGATACTGACCTATTGACAGTATATGTGTTGGGACATGTTTTTAATTTCACAGTATCAACATTTTGAAAAAGAAAAAACAAGAATAAATTTAATAATTAAGTATTATGTATTCATGAAAGAACCAGTGACAGTAGATGTGCCATGTTCAACTGCATAATCATGCCTTCCAGCGTCCTTCCATAAATGACATGCTCAGCATGGTTTATGTCAGAAAGCTATCTGATTTGTTGAGACATGTAATGGGCATGAGCTATTTTTTTATTATTTAGTGTAGAGAGATGGGGAAACCAAATGAGCAGTAAGAGATAGGAGGAAGAAGAATATGTCAGAGAGAAACAGCACCCGGCTCATTCCAATGATGATCAAACTGATATTGCAGCAGTAAAAAAAAAAAAACAGTATTATAGCAGCAAAGATTAAATCTATCCAAGGTTTCTGGTACACAGCAGATTCCCTCCATTGCCTTGTCTGTTGTTGTTTAAAAGTAGTAGATAAGCTGTATCCTGTGCGATAGCTCAAGAATGAAAAAGATTCAGGGCACTTCATTTATATGGTTTCACCAGCAGACACAAGCTGATAGCAGCAAAGATCAGGCAAGTCAAGGAACAAACACTGTGATGGAGGCCATGGCTGATCGCTTTAAGGTAAAGGAAAGAGGAAAATAATCCACGGGGGAAAAAAAATGATTCATGGATGTAGTGCAGAAAGAAAAAAACTGTAAATTTGTTAAATAAATTATGAAAGTTTTCCTGTAAAACCAAAAAGAGACAGCTGCAGAAAAGGTGTCCATTTCTTCTTTTACCAAACCATGAGAGAAATATGCCTGTTTAAATTCTCTGTCATCAGCATACCCTGTCGGACCAGCATAACTATAGTCAATATGCATGCGCAAAGATGCCAGATTTGCGTTTATACCTTTAGTTTTATATGAAAAATAGACTTTAAACTACCTCAGCAGGCGTGTATCCCTTTAGTCATGCACAAAAAAACAATTTAAGGACAGATCGCCCATACGCTTCAAAAAAACACCAAAAAGTAAGTTATCAAATAGTTTTTTTGTACACGACTAAAGGGATACACGCCTGTTGAGGTACTTTAAAGTGTATGTTTTGTACAAAACTAAAGGGATAAATGGGTACTGACTATGGGTATGCTGGTCTGATGGGGTATGCTCATCTGACAGAATACCGGATCATGTTAACCACTCAGATATCTTTAGCTTATATTTCCCAATTACTCTTCATTGTCCACTAGTGTCACCTTCCTACCCATTGGTTTTCTTGTTCCTTCTCTGCACACCTGTTCCCATTAAGATAATTACCTCAGTTTACTCTTCTCCTGTGTTCTCTGTTTCTGGTTTCTGAGTTCCTTGCCTGGTTACTTTTGGATTTATACTGCCATTGCCTTCATCATTAAATCTACAAGAGCTCATCTCTACCTCCGCTTGTGCATCTTGGGTCCAGCAACTAAATTCTACACATCATAACAGTTTTCAGTTGTAATGGGGCAAATGTTGACTTTTCAAAAGTATAAGCTCTCCGTTGCATCACATTATTAATATCTTTTCATTTCTTGAGGAGATTAACTACTTTGGCCTTTACCCAGAAATTAAGATACATTATCTTTTATCCTGTAGACAACACAGTCAACTTGTCGCCAAGCTATCAGTCAATTTCCCTCTTTAACGGCCTTGAATTCAATCAAGTCTCCAAAATAGCCTTTTGTTCCACTTAGATAAAGTTTCTGAGAGGTTTCTAACCTACTTTGGCCTTACCTGAAAGACGTACTTTAGTGCCTCAACTTACTGTAAAATTTTATTTTCTTGAATACATTCTCATTCTTTTTAAATGCATTCATATCTGCAAGATATAAATGGACTTGACTTCATTATATGTTTGTCAAATTTTTCTCTTTAATTGATTTAATCACAGAACAAAACACTTGTAAATGAAATCCAGGCATATTCACTTAAAGCTTTTAAACACAATAACAAATACAGAATTTTGTTAATAGCTTAAGCCTTTAGAGGCAACCTCATGCAAGCATGTTGTTTTGCCTCGGTAACTTTCCTCTGCAAGAGTAAAACAGACTTGTGAAGATTATGTACAAAAAAAAAACTAAAAAACAAGCCAAAGGAACAGTGAAACAGTGTATTTATATTTAAGAAACTGCGACCAGTCTGGGACATTAGGAAGCTCCAGACAGCAAAGAGGTTCAGTAAGCAATGCAGCAGATGTGAAGAATCACTTTTAAAAACTTGAGACTGCTACCAATTGGCTTTGCGTGGTCTTCCCAACCAGAGAACTCAAAGTTGAAGCAGTCTGCTGCTCCCTGATTGGTGCAGCCTTCACCTTCGCTTACGTTTCAGTCTAATGCTACAAAGAAAAGGTGAGGCGTGCTCCATGAAAGTCATTACCCCTCCCCGCCTCCCCCGTCAGAGATATAGGCATGGCCCTTGCTCACACTGTTGCTAGGCAACAGTTTGAATTCCACCGTTATGCACATTGCCATGCATCCCAGTGCAGACCTACAAATCATCAAGTCCTCCATTAGCCAAGCTGTCAACAGCTTAATGGCAGGAGACTCCAGTGAAAACAACGATGAGCACAGCATCTAGCAGGTCTTCTGCTTTTCGTGATGACCATAAACAAAATAAAGAACAGACAGGACCAGCCTGAATGCAGTCAAGGGAGTCAATTCATATGTTTTTTTCCCCCAGGGATTAAGACTGATCACACATATAAAAGTGTCATGTTAACAAAGAATTTTACATTAAATATATGGTTACGTTGTAGCTAAAAAGCAATTTTTTGGGTACTGGGGTGACAAACTTTTTTGTGCACAAAAGAGCTAAATGTGGTGCTGGTTAATTTTCTTTGGAAATCAAAAGAATATAAAAAAAATCTTGGCAGTTATTAAAACGTTTAAGTTAAAAAACACGGTTTCATTTAAATATCTGAATCCTTATCACTTCTAAAGTCTCGTTAAAATCCCGAAAGGTGCCTTTCATTTCCATAAATCACAGGTTGTCTTCTCAGAAGAGTTCAGCACATTTAAGTCCAACAAAAAAAGTTTGGCCAGATGAATATTAAGTAAGATTTTGTAGATAATGAATAATTTCTCCTGCAGTAGATAACTCTCTTACCCTCCAACACTGGTCCCAGAGACTATAGCAGACAGCTAATCAGAGTAGGACATATTCCAGAGCAGATGTCTGAATCCTAAAAATGTCATGATCCCAAAGCACCCCCATTGTTTATACAACACTATCATGAATCTTTAAACTCTTATGATGTTTGCTTAAAAAGTTAGAAGCTTATTTGTAGAAATACATACATTTAAACAGAAGATTTAGTAATGATGCACTACAACAACCCACTGTGATTGTTCTTTAGTATGTCAGTGTAAGACAAACATACTTGGCTTCACTTACACTACTATAATAGATAGTTCCCACATGGCGCCACATCCGGTGCACCGCAACACAACGGCGGCAATGCGATAGAAAGATACAAAAAAAAAAAACGATAATAAAACACTATAATTAAATCAATTAACATACTGAGAATCAGAAAAGATGAATATGAGCAAACTGGAACTAAGCATCGAGCATCGATGAGGGTGGCTGGCTAATATCCAGGGAAAACACAAGCCATCAATTGTGGCACAGATTTTCTTTGATCGCTTTACTAATATTAAACGTTAAATGTTTAAAACATGTAGAAGTAGCTTTAAAAATATAAAGATACATCCAACAGGATGGACATAAGAGTGTATAACAAAAGTGCCAAATTATTACATCCTAATGCTATGTTCATATCGTGATTTATTTACCCTCATTTTACTTTTGAGACAATAAATCAAGATCATATACAGATATAAGACTGATTATAGCAAATATGGTTGTAATCTTTAACAATAACAGCCATGTTTACTTTGTATCTTTTTAAAGAAGCCTCAAATAACGTGTCTTTTTACCAATATCCTATCCACATGGCACATTCCCAGAGCCATTTACTTTAGGTCTGGTCTTGTGGGAACTATCTATAGTGCAGTCCACACATATAACATATTTTACTACTTATATTGATTGAAAAAATGTTTTAAATACCAGGATTCACAGGAAGATTATTGATGGCAGACCACTTCCTGTGTAAATAACCCAAAGATCAGTAAATAACCATGGATCCAAACTTAAGTGCATAATAGTGTAAACTGGGAGAGTGGTGGCCTAGTTGTTATAGCATTGGGCTTGAGCCCCAGAGATTCTGAGTTCAAGCCCCACAGACTGCCAATCTGGGTCCCTGGGCAAGACCCTTAACCCTGGACTTCTCCCTGGGCGCCAATTGTGGCAGCCCGCTGCTCTCCGAAGGGATGGGTAAAATACAGAGAGTGAATTTCCCTATCGTGGGACAATAAAGGATTTATATTTTTGTCTCTTGTACAATCCTGTAAAATAGTTTTTAGGACAGTAGATGTCCTCTCTGGCCTTGGTAGTGAGCTATATCATCTGGGACCAACTAATCCAAAATAAGAAGTCATCAACTACGCAAAAGATATGAGCTGCTCAAGGACAGAGATACAGCAAGAAAACTGGTGGGTGAAAAAACAGTCACCACACAAGTGACTGCATGGTATTGAACAATGACTGGCCAGTCATACCTAATTATAGCTACCTGCTAAATAGCAACATTATTTGGTGTGAAAGTTGTTATTGCAGAAAGAAAACTTAATGTTTTGCGATTTAAGTGAGGTGTTTTAATCTAAAGTTGGAGTACCAAAGCACTGAGATAAAAGGGACAAGTTAATGTTGCAGTTCTTTCATGCTAAGAGTGAAACCAAGACTTTTAGCAAATGATAGGAAGGCTGAAGTAGGTAAGAAAACGGGCTCTTCTATCATTTTGAGATTTTCATTGCTGTAAGTTATGGCTAATGCTGGCTTTTCAAATGTTAGCAGGATTGTAGAGAATCTTCAATCACAATATTTTAACAGATTTAGATACTATGTCTTTAAGGACGATCAAATGTTATATATGTTATAATGAGATATGTTACATTTACTATGCTCTCTTAGCAACAGGATCCTACATTATGTAGAGGATGAAAAGAGTGATGGATACAGAAAAAAAAAAAAATTATATTTCATTTGGTTTCATTGTTGGGACTTTGACTAATTATTCAGCAGAGTAAAATCCTCCTTGGGCAGACCTTCAGGAAACTGTACTGTAAGCAACAATTAGGACGTATTTGCAGATCCAAGCTAAAAAAATAATATCCCAAACTGTTCATAAGGAGGGGTAGCTCCCAAATGCAAACAGCTCAGACTTCATGCTTGGAAATAATTTCGCTTTCTTGGTGCGATCTATCCAAAAAAAAAAAAAAACTAAATGAAAGAAAAATAAATAAAAAAAGAAACCGACTTTGGAACAGACTTGGAAATACCATTCCTCCCAGTGACAGCACTTAAATCAAGGCCTAATGTTACGGAACACATAAGGCTGCTGGGGTGATAGAGCCACCTGACGACATGCTAGAAGTACAGAAGACAAAGCATCCATCCTTTCCCATATTCTGGCTCATGGTACTGCTGAGTCACATTGCAGATCTCCAGACACCCACTCTGCCCTGCCTTCTGAAAATGGCCTCTTTTTGACATATCATTTTATTCTGCTGTCAACCTTAATTTAAAACCGTATTACGGTGAGGGGTCTGGTTACAGGGATCATATCATCAGGAGCCTTTTTGTTTTAATCCTCTGCTAGGTTTCTGCAGATACAGCTTTGTGCTTAGGCTTTACGTTCTCTTCACTCAGCCATGCTGTGACCTTTAACATCCAGACAGAGAGAGGAATGGGATACAGTATTGCCACCAGAGCTTTAAATGGAGAGTATATAACTGTATATTCCTTCGTGGACAGGCTAAGGTACGGACTGATGCTTAACAACCTTGATGTGGGGAAAAATAAAGTGCATGTTGTTCATTTTACACAGGATTATTATACTCCACTTCAAATAGTTTCTCTCTGCAGAAAATGTGGTAATTGAACTGAAGGAGAATGTTGCAAAAAAGTTTAAAGGTTTGTGAAATCCAGATGATTGCTCTCTCTGTCTCCTTCTTGCACACCCCGAACCTCGGCTGAACCCGCTAGAAAACTGTTCTCTTGTTATCTCCTCCCGTACTCCGATCACGCTCCTTGCTCTGTTCACATGATGGAGCAGCTTTTGGACTTGTCCTTGCTAAAGGTGGAGGAGAGGAGATCCGTCTTGTTGGGGAGGTGCAGCAGTCTTTTGGAGAGGCGGCGGACTGGGCTGGGTTTGTTGGCAGGCTGCAGTTTATTCATGCAGGCCAGAGCGGCGGTACGAAACACACTGTGGATGCTCTTTTCTGAAGTGAAGGCTGAGCACTCCAGATAAGCTTCGGCACCGAGCTGTTTGGCCAAAGATGAACCCTACAAAACGAAGATGTGTATTTCTTAAAAGGTAATGAACTATTTGTTAACAATACGCTTATGAGAGTTTTAAAGTAAGAGGAAACAATGGGAAAGGTACCTGTTCATGGGAGACTGGAGCCTGTTTTTGATTGGACAGCTCCATGCGTGTGCAAACATCAGTTCGCAGGTCTGTCTTACAGCCTATAAGCAGGATTCGAGTGTTTGGGCAGAAGTCTTGAATCTCTGCTTTCCACTGCAAAAGAAAACAAACAGGGTTACTGATTCAGAGAAAGCTGGTTGATCATTAAGCAAAGATGCCACCTAGCAGGAATGTCCGCAGCTCATACCTTCTTCAGAGCACCATCTACTGTGTCTGGTCGGCTAATGTCAAAGCATAGCAACACCGCGTCTGAGTCGCTGTAGCAGAGGGGCCTGACGTTGTCGTAATAGGGAGAGCCTGAGAGGGTGGAAAGGAGTCAGAACATGGCTTTATTCACCCAAATTAGAGCTTTTATTTGGTTAAGAATGGAGAAACATTAAACTATAATTATCTTTATTCACTCATTTCTAGTATCTACATAGTAGGATGTCTTAATCAATAAAATAATACTATTTAAACAAAAGCATTTGTTGATTCAGCTGTGCTTCAACCACCAGTGTTATATAAGTGATTCAAATTTGAAATAAAGCAAATTTAAAAACACGTCAAACACTGTTCCTTGTAAACATATTCATACCCCTTGAGGACTGATGTAAAGAACTGTTCAGTCCATCATTTGAGAGGCATGGTAGGACAGCAAAACAAAACATGCTTTGCACCTAAAACAGGGCTCTGCATCAATCACAATCTGAGTAAGTCAGAGCTATTTTTGATCTGTGTCACAGATGAAATGTGTGTCCCAAGCCGTGCAAGAGACACAGCACACAAATGGAACAAAGTGCTCTCATAGGATGAGACTGAAATTTAAACTGAACATTACTCATGTGAAACACAGTGTTGAAAAAGTCATGGTATGGGGTGAGCTTCTGAGACAGGTTGAATTAGAAGGAAAGATGGATAGAGCATGAAAATCCAGGAAGAAATCCTATTAGACGCACCAAGAAACCGCTGATTCAAGCAAGAGTTTCCCTTTCAACATGACGGCTACACCAGAATAGGTAGGCATAAAGTCCATTTGAGTCTAGACAATGCATATCCATGCATGTCAGTAGAGGTAAGCACAATTCCATGCAAAAGTAACAGTTAAGTCCTTTAACAATGCACTCTGGTCAAGCAAGCGTTTAATGGAGTAAAGAAATTAAATCCTGAAGTGAAACATCTGAATGTCTAATTTGGCTTAGTCTATAACATAAAATTCTCGCTTGATAAATTTACTTGTGAGGCTGTCACCAAAATGGATGACAATCGAAGGCTATACATACAGCAACATTGAGATTACATTTTTTGAAGCAGAGGAGTGACTCAAAAAAAGGTTTTCGTAAAACAGTAATATCAAAAACATACTTTTTACTTACACTCCACATCCTTTTGTTTAGCAGCTGTGTCCACTTTTTAGAACAAAATAAGTTTGTTCTATGAAATGACCTTGTACCCCCCCTCAGGTATTGAGAAAGTAAAATATGAAGGAAACAGATTCTTCTTGAATGTCTATAAACAGAACAAGTTCCAGAGCTAAAAACAGATTGGCAGGATGTCCGCTCTCTATTGTCTTCCTTCTACCACCTAATCACTACCTACACAACCACAGCAAGCTTTGATTCCCTTGTCCGGTCCTTCGGGGCCAAATATGCACAAGAAGCAACTAAAAGAAGGTGTAATTAAGGCAGGAATAGATGCTTCTATTAGCAAGACCAACCAACAATCAGGGAGTCGAATGTTTTACACCCCAGGTTTAATATAGCATCTCTTCATTCTTGCCTTCACTTTGCAAAGTAGGATGTATTACACAAGTTGCATCCATCAATAATTTTTTCTGTTCTTTTTGTGGGAATCGACACCGGTACCCCATATAGCCATCTGAGGTGATGTAAGACTTGAGAAAGAGGAGGCAGACGGATCTAAAGAGGACACAACTTCTAGCTCCTGCCGCCTCCCACACATTAGCACCTCAACTATGCCTGAACACACAAATACGCTCCCTTACACAAAGATGCACGATGCTTTTAGCAGTGCTAAGAGACCAAAACGTCTGCACTCATCAGTGTGGCTCGGACTGAGGGGAAAATAAGAAAAATACCAGCTATGTTTTGTATTTAGAAAGAAAAATCTCCTACTTCTGTCTGTCCTTGTGTGAAAATATGATTTCAATATTCTAACCAATAAAAAGCTCTGGCTAGCCAAGAATTATATCAGTCACTTCCAATTTCTCCATTAGAACTCGAATTGGCCATAAAATACTTGTTATCTACATGGATCAGAAATGATCCAACTTTAGAATAAATAAGTATGGTAAAATAAAACTATGCTTATAGAGCCATTTTCTTCTACATCAATAAGTATCTACAAATACAGTAAAAGTCTGTAGTTTATGAAACAGTGTCATCTACAAAATATCTTAACAAAAGTCAATCAAAGCAGATTGCCTATTAAGGGAGATTCTGATGTATTTATTTATTTTGCACACCAAGAAATTTTGAAGTACATCACAAGATACTAAAACCAAGATCATTTTAAAATAAATGTCCAAAATTATATTTGAAAAAAAAAGGTTGTTTTGTTTAGTGTTTTATTTGTCAATCCTGTGGGAACTATTGGAACTAAACTTAGTAAGTAAGTTCACTTGGTCTACTTTGTTTCTTTGTTTTAGCAATGTGCAATGGGTCCTCAACCATTAAGAAGCCTGTTTATTTGCTTAAAACTATGTCTTGAGCAGCTGAGGTGAATATAAGGGTCATACCCATGAAAAACAAGCACATTCTTCCCTGTTAATCCAAACACGCTTAAGGTGGGGCAAACTGTTTGCTTCAGTGTGGAAAAAAAGAGGCTTTGCATCAATGCAGGCAATCCAAATGTAGAGATCTAGATGATGAGGGAAGGAACCCCCATATCTTCACTGTTATTGACTGAACTCAGATTGAACTATTCTCATCTCCACAGAGCAGGGAGCCTCAGAGAAAACCTCTGGTTTTTGGGAGTCTTAAATTCTCATCATCATCATCTGGAAGCCAGATCGTCAAAAATTATCTAATACATTAACCAAACAAATGCCAATATCACAAGAATTGGTCTGGCCTGGACATAAAGGTTTTCTTTTTTAAAAGCTCATCCCACATACTCTAATATCTCCAAAGGTTTGACACAGTTTAAATAAAAAGAATTACAATAAAAGTATAAGATCATTTAAAAGGCTTGTTTGAACAAAGAACACATGACCAAAATCTAAGTTTGATTCATTCATTAGAAGCAGAGGTGAATTCACAATGTGTGTGAAAGCAGTGGATGTTACACAGCTCTGCAGTTCAACAAGATTTTAAATTAGCTTTAAAAGGAAGATACAATTATTACAGAGTTTAAATTCTAAACTCATTCAAAGCATCTTAATAATAAATTTGAGCATGACTATTGCAGTTTATACGATCAGTTGTCATTAGTCTGTGTGACTTCCTGAAAGAGTAAGAGCCTTACCTTAAATGCAAGACTTAAAGAGTAACATCTTTTAAAAAAACAGGTCAAATTGGAATAACAAAACAAATTAAAAAAAAAGAACTTTATTACAATCAAAACAAAACTATTACTTTCCTTAAAAGTAGCGGCCTCAACATTGAACTTAGAAAATAGTTGTTTCTAACTCCTTTTTTGCTCCCTATATAATTTAATGTTATTAATATTTTATGATTTCTATTAAAGCGTCTGACAAGAAAATGATAGTTTTATTAGAGACTGAGTTGAGCTAAAAGGACATTTAGAGTTTTAATAAGACATAGTAAAATGATAATTATTATATTTTTTAAGAAAATAATATTTAGTATTCAAAGAAGTCTTTATTAAAACAGGTCAATCGTAAACATGAAGAGAATAAGACGTAATAGGGCTAAGTGCAGTGCAGCAAAGGTATGTTTATTTATTTCCACCAATGGAAAGCAGTCTTATGCAACATTTCCTCCAGAATGAGGGACTGTCAAGATAAGTTTTTCCTTCGTGGGAGACAAATGTACAAACCTAAATTATCCCAAGGCTGCTTTGTATTACATAAGCATGGAGGTCAAGCACGTTATCTCTCAGTATCCCTTGCCTGTGCCTTCTGTTCACAGCAACACACACACATAAGAACCATGGTTGGCTTCCACCCCCTGTATGGACGAGGCATCCCCTCCGCTCGGCTGTGAAACAACCACTTTGAAGGCCAACTGGCACAACTTCACTTCCTCTGAACACCAAGCCTGAGGCTCCAACGCAGGCCAGCACTGGAACAAAGAAGGTTCGCTGCTGCACTTGGTGGCCTTTTTTATTGATTTCATTTACATAATTTCTTCAGTGTGTTTAGGTCACTGGGCTGCATGCAGTTTATCTGTTCACCTACTGAACCAGAAACCTAGAAGCCATTCACACTGATTGCTTATATATGCCGTTTCAGCCTTTAATTATGTTTTTATTTTTTATTTTTAACTGTTCAAAAGCACATTTGGTCATTTAATTTATGCAGAAGGCAAATTTTAGAGATCCCAGTTACATTTTCTTTATATTTAACGAAATAAAACTGTTTTTTCCCCCACCTTTTTTAGAACTACACATAAAGGTCTTTTTGCAAACAAAACAGAAAGGAAAGCTTCTTTTGACGTGGTCAACAACTTTTTTTTGTTTAAGAAATTATTAAATTATTAAAGTTTTGACCAATACATAAAAGTCACAGTATTCATAGGTTAGTATTATGAAACTACACCTAAAAACTGCAAAAAACTGAATATCTCTGTTGTAGAAGATGTTTTATAAAAGCAGATCTTAATCAAGAAAATTAAAGATTTTCAATATTTTACTGGTCTAAATCTATGCTGATACCTAATCTATGTTGGACTTTAAATTAATAACATGTGCATCAGTTATGTATTGTAGGGTGATGCATGTATAGACAATAAAATTATGGGGTTCCTTTGTTTTGATGCACAAATGAACAGAGAATAGATTTGATCTGCCTTTGATCTGCAGGTCTGTCCTGATAAACAATAAACTCGCAGCTAATTATTCTTTTAGTTTTTTTAGTTTTTTGTTTTGTACATGCTAAATCAACATGCTAAATCAGCACTGAGGGTCACTGACAACAACATACATTTGATCACTGGATACCAAAAGAAAAGGAAAATTTTATTTCATACACAAAGATTGCTGCATCAATACTCTAAATTTTATAATATTCTCTTTAATCGATTGGTTCAGCAAATAAATAAAAGATACTAGAACTCCATCAAATATAATTGTACATCTTGTAATAATTGGTTTGACTATTTATTTATTAATTAAACTATGCCAGATATCTAAGCTTAATGGAAATTATAACAGGGCTTTTTTGTGGCCAGAAAACTGACATTTTATTGCATGGAATTTTAAAATGGGCAGAAAAAATGTCTAGAACTTAAAATCTAAAATGTCTGCCTTTCACAGACAAGCAGGTAAGATTCCTCAGCAGTTTTAAATAGATCTTTAACTGCATCCACACAGAAAAGACAAAGAGGCAGGGAGATAGTGAAGTCTGGTTGAATAGACCTGACTATCGCCCTGCTAAAACAAAAGAATGAGACCTTGCTGTATTTACACTGGTAATGGTTCCCCCGGCTCCTGGATGGCTGATCTTACTGGGAGGGCAAACAAATTGCAGACATCAACCCATCAATACAGCTCTCAGCCTGAACACTTTAACTGATTGCTCAGCTTCAGAGCTGACAAGACTGTTAAAGATGGAGATTCTTGTCTTTGACAAAAACCATTTTTAGGAAATGTAACCAAAAATATTGGAGCATGTGAATCTCACCTGATGTGTCCCAAAGACTGAGTTCAACACGCTGGTCTTCCAGCTCCAGACAAGCCGTGTAGTTCTCAAACACAGTGGGGACATAAGTCTGGATGTGGAGGAGTTAAAAGCAGGATTAGGAATCATTCTCATCACATATTCATCACTATCTAGTCTTGCAAAAATAAATAAATAAATAATAATATTTTTTATAAAATGTATGGCTTGGATTGTGTAATAAACTACTTATTTCTGTATATGTGTTTTAATCATATATATATATATATATATATTTTTTTTTTTTTTCATAAATTGATCAATAGCTTAAGAAAATATTCACAGTAAAAAGGATTTTGTGTTAAATAATGTGGCCTCTATAAACATGCTTTATAAAATAATATATTTATATTCTATAAACAACAATTTTAAATCCAAATATTGTTTTGGTTAGAAGGAATGACGTTTATATAATTAATTTGAATATTTAACAGCAGTATGACTTTCTAATTTTTATTCTTCTACAGAGACCTAAAAACACAAACCTTTAGATGCCTAATCCCTTTCTTAATGATTAATGATATGTGCAGCAGGATCTTACCTCTGGGTAGCAGTCCTTCACTAAGACTTGCAGCATCGCTGTTTTACCGCATTGAACGTCCCCAACCAACACCAGTTTACATCTCGCCACAAAAGGCTGCTGGAGTCTTCTTTCCTTCATTCCGACTAAATAAGCTATTCAAACCGGGGAAATGGAGAGTGTGTAATCCTATCAACCTGCTGAGAGTTAAAGATGACTCTGCGGTGAATTTAATGGGACTGCAGCAGCTTAGTTTCAGTCAGTAAGTGAAGGAGTCTTGGATGCAGCCAGGCTTTATAGCGTCGCAGCAGCCAATCAGAACGACGCGCTGCGCGCATGAGGCGCGCGCACGATGAGAAGTTCACCTTATCACTAGCAGAGCTGCAGGGTCATTGATCTAGTTAACATGTTGGCCTAAATGACCTGAACTGCACATTAAATCATATTTGTCTCAAGCTAAAGCTATATTTGAATGAATAAGAGGAGCCTCTTCATGAATGTACACCCAGCTGTTAACCATATATATTGGATTAAATAAAAGGTTTATAACTTTAATATTATAGCCAGTTTAAATCTAGATATGAAGCTAATTAATGACATTTAGCTTCTAATAAAAAAAAAAAAACAGTCTAAGTATGTGGACTGTTTTATTGATGCCTTTTTATTCAAGCAAGGCACATGAAGTCATAACAAAAGTTTTAAAACAAACATGACTTTTTCTTATCATTTTAGCATTTAAAACATTGACCTAATTCGTGAAAATTTGCTAACATAGTCACTTAAGCTGCAAGGTCTTTCTTTGCAATAAGAAAACACAGTTAGAAATTAAAAGGTGTTAGAAATTGATCTACAACATGTGTCTTTGACCAATCATTGACGTTCCCTCATCATTTTTTTTTATTTGAGCAAAATGCTGAGTAATTATGTCGCTGCACTTTCCCATATATTCCTATGCCCTTTTTCCAATACCAGACCAATGTTAGAAATGTAATCAAAGCGACCATGAGGTCAACCACTGCCTTTTCTCAACCAGTATTTTAAATTCAACTAAGTGTTAAATAATCCCTTTAATGTGTAAACCTAGAAGCTTTATTCATCGTGTTTAAAAAAAAAAGAATCAGTCTTGTATTATAGTGAAAATGATTCCATCATTATTATTTTCTTCATAATTTTAAGTAATCAATACATTCAGATTATCGTAATGGCAATTAAATAATAAAGAATTTAATTGACTTAATTTTCAACAACTATACTCAAACTATACATAATTATAAATTTACAAAGTTTAAATAGTAAATTAATGTCTAAGTACCTAATGACACTAAAAAGAAGCTACATTTTTTTTTTTTACCACTAAGAAGCTAAATTCAGAATTAACTTTTGGTCAGATGTTGTCCATTCTTATATATCATTTGTAAATACATTGATAAGGCCTGTTCCTATATACTTTATTGGACAGCCTAACTCACATTTAGACAATTTACTGAGTTTATCAGCCATATTTGATTGCAGTCTCACAGTGTATCCTTGCTCTTTTACGCTACATGTTTAGTTCACACAACAGCTACATGACATAAAAGCACATTTTATAGTATCATTAGTACAACAGTCAATGTATAAACAGCCATCCGTGATATATATAAATCGTGTTGGCTGTTTTAGACTGAAACGTTTATAAAGTTAATTAGCTTCACTTTTCCATAAGGGGTTATCATCATAGTAAAATTAAAATTTTGACCAACTGTACAAATACCTGTGCTAACAAAGCTATATTCTTGCCTAAAAACATTCAATATCAAAATGAATTTTATAAAATTCAGCTCAAATGAAATTATAAATGTTTAAGAGGTTATGAACAGGAGATTACTTGCTCCAAAGCTGGTTCACGTAGAAACTACAGAATTAACTAACCCACAGATAAACAGATAAAATTGTGAAAGTTAGGAGAACTTTCTAAAGGGGAAATTCTTATAAATATAAAATGAAACCAATATTACACCCCTGCATCAGTTAGATATTTATAGTCAGTGTAGTGGAAAGGACCTTATTTTTTTTTATCTAAGATAGCTCCACAAAGTGGTAATTCATGAATGTTACATGATTTTTCCCATCTTTTCATTAGCCTTCATGCAAACTTTCAGTGATTCAGAGGGTACAAGAAGCCTTGCTACAGCTAAAAGCAAAAAACATTTAGACAATTTTCTGGATATACAAACTAAGATAAACAACATTTTAGGGCAAATAAGTTCTAAGTTCTAATAAGTTCTTTAGAAATAAATTAATCAGGCTTTAGGCTTTTGAAAACATCAGTTTTTTATTATTTAGTAAAATCTTGACCAACTGTGCAAATATCTGTGCTTGACAAAGTCTTATTCTTGCCTAAAAACATCCTATATCCGTACATTTCCCACAATGCATTGCAGTTAGATCGGCCAAGCTCAGACTGCAATGACTGGGGCAAAATCATAGTTAAAAATGTATATATTATGCTTCCAATAATTTAAAGTAAACCTTAAAGACATTTTTATGTGAGATTGTAGCTTTATCAAACTAAATAAAAAAAAAAAAAAGCTCAGTTGTTTGCTGAAAGCGAAGACCTGATAAGTTTATTCCTGAAATATAATGTTTTTCTTTAGACCTGACAACTTATTTCTTGAAACATAAAATCTGATAATTTTTTTCCCCAAGACCTCATAACTTATTTCGTAAGACCTCGGGATGTCCTAAAATGTAACCATAATAAACTGCACGCAGACAGATTTGCAATACGAAAAATACTGGGGTGTAATAAGTGTTATCTACTGACACTTCTCTTTAGATATATATTTTGTTACTAAGTTGACATAAAAATATGAGGTGTTGATGAATGGAAATGATGAATGATGGATTGAACACATCCTTATAATACTTCATTGTCTATTCTATAAGGTAAATCTTGGAAATAATTTGCTCAGAAATGTTTAACTATTGCAACTACTGACAGAAGGTGCAGCTGAACCCACTGCTAGACGTGACACTGTCTTCAAAGGGCTGCAAAAGTTTGTTCTAAGAAACAAGCTGTAAATCTCTACCTAGATAGCACCTTTTCAAGACTCCAAAGCCCTTTACACTACATTCAGTCATTCACCCATTCATACAAGCTACATTATAGCTCCAGCTGCCCTTTGGCACATTGACAGATGCATTCTGCATAGGCAATGTGGGTGAGGAGTCTTACCCAAGGGCACAACAACTAATGGAGTTTGAACCGACAACCCTCCAGCTGCAGGACGAACTCCTGCATCCTACGTCACCCAAAATACTTTCCCATTATGCCTGTGTAAATTCTCAGGGTCAACCATTCAACAATTGGAGGCAATTAGACTTTCGCTCAATTTTTTAAAGTTTCAACACTTATCTAACTGTCCTGGTCAACTCTGTTGGCTCACACCACAGCAATCTGTATTTGGATTGCTGATGTATGGTCTATGGAGGACCAATCCTGTCATAACAACAAATAAAAATAAATACAGAAACAAAAAAATGCTCCAAAAATAAATAAGCATACAATTAATTGCCCCCCCAAAAATGCAAATACGACAGGCAGAAATAAAAAGCATGGAAGAAATAAATAGGGTAAAAAAAAAATACAAAGGAAGAATAAACCAGACAAAAATACTATAAAATGCACATAAATAAATACTTAAAGAAATAAGTAATAAATAAATTAAGTTGAAGAATATAACAGACAATAAATAAATAAAGTAATTATTACAAAGGCAAATAAACAAAGAAGCTAATTAAAAGATATATATATGTATGTCTGACAGTATAATTTAATTTCTACATACATTTATTTGTTTATTATATTTTTGGGGGCCATTAATTGTATGATTATTTATTTTTGGGGCATTTATTTATTTACGTATTTATTTTTAATTATGGCAGGATCTGTCCTCCATATACATATTCATGCTGCTTAAACAGGGTCAGAATAAAGCTCTTTGCTGACCTCTGGTGATAAAAAGTATGTGAAGCTCCTGACATCCTCTCTGCTTTGCTTAATGGCACTATACTATGAATAGTAAACACTGTTGAACAAACTTTTCTTAAATTTATTTTTATTGTCTTCACTGAAAAGTGTAAAATTACTAACCATCTTAAGATTATCTTTAGAGATTTAATTACTTGTGAAGTTACAGAGCAAAGCACCAAAGCACTTTCCACCACATTCATGCTTACACTCTATTAAGGATTATATACCATTGCATTTATACATAAAGAATAATTTATGAAACAGGGTTTAGGGTTTTTCAAGGGACAGTTATAAATATTGTGATTTTATGAATGAATAACTGTTAAACTGGAAAAAAAACATGACTACAAAAAGAAAAAAAAGGAACTTTAGATTAATAAAGTAATTTAATGATTTGTTAATTGCCTAATTTGAAATATTCAAGGCACACTCTCTGCTAGACCCTGAGTGACATTAGAAACAAATATATATATGTCGCCAACTAAAAAGTCATATATCTCAAAAGAAACTTACATTCAGTAAAAAAAAAATTATGCCACATTAGGTGAGACATTTAATTTGTATGTAAGGTGGTTTAAACATACACTTTGGTGATTAAATAGATTAAAATTCACATTTAAAGAGGTAAGAGGGACTCAAATTATGCTATTTTTAGTGACTGACCTCACTAGACTTGATAAACACCTGTAATTTGCCACATCACATCATGATCAGTTGCAAAAATGCCTTTCAATCAGTTAGGATTTTCTTTTTTTTTTTTTTTTTTTTTTTTTTTTTTTTTACAGTGTCCTGTCTGGCAATGTGGCAATAAGAATAATTGTCTTGATGCCAAAAAGAGCCCAACAGATTTTACTTTCACAAGTGTAGCAGTATGGCAATTGCCATATTGCTCCACTTGTTTCATGCATATAAATTGCTTTATTATGATTATGCAGGGAGTTTTACAGTTTATATGGACACTGCAATGTAAATAGAGCAGAAAAACAGAAGAAGAAAAGGAAAAAAGAAAAAAGAAAAAGATGAAAGAAAGAAGAGAGAGGAGACAATGACAAAACATTTTCAGTCTGCTTCATCACCTGTAAAGTTAGGATTTTCAACCATGATTAATCACATAAAATGTCCATATAAATCAGAAGTAATCACAAATAATTGCAGTTTTTATGTGCTCAACGTGACATAAAGCAAAGTTTTAACCCACATACTGGATACATTTCAAATATATTTTTCATATCGGTGCCCCTTGCTTGCTCATTTAACTTGATAGGGGCACTGAATGGGCCTGTTTATAATAATAATTATATAATTTAACATTATTAATCTCACACTGGAGAAATTTAACTCTGCATTTGACCCATCCCCTTGGGGAGCAGGGGGCTGCAAATGTGCGGCGCACCTTCTCAGAGAAATATGACAATTATCAAGAATATTCTACAGAGAAACTGCTTACAAAAAAAATATACAAGAAGTAAGTGTGCTTTTATGCATACACCTTCACACCAGATGACTTTGATTTACCTGTATTGGAGAAACATTAATAAAGAGCGTTTTTACGCGGGAATATTAAAAGTGCCTGTACAGCTACACATCCTGTGACGTGCTGTTAGAATAAAACTTTTTATGCTGCTTTCACATTAATATGTTCGATGCAAACCCCTAACAACTTAATAAATATTTGAGTGGTTCTTTGGCTGTATGATGGCATATTTATAATTTTCAAATGAATGTGGCCAGGGCTGGACTGGGTCTAAAAAATATATTCTTATATATATATATATATATAATTATAACAGCCTTTGTCTCAAAAATATTTTTTATCTTATAGGAGAACAACAAAAGCGACAAGTATTCAGAAGCATAATGGAATGTTTCAAATACAGAGAAAATTTGAGAGGGTGAAGTATTTCTTTTATCAAATTTATCAGGATCAACTAACCAGATTCCTTAAAAATAGACTAATTTAACCGTAGCCATTAAATCGATGATTACCCTCCAGTCCGGTAGGTGGCGGTAGATGGTCCTTAAGTTGGTTTGCTAACCGTCATTAAATTACACGAGAAGAAGATTATCATCATCATCCTCATCGTCCTCTTCCTCACTTTCTCTACTGTGAAAGGTACATATCTTGGCGTCTCCGCTACACTTTTTCTGCATCTCGTCAAAAACCGCCAGCTACCTAAACGTGAATCAAAATGGCTGTGGTTCTGGCTTACTGGGACATTCGCGGGGTAAGTTGAACCGCTGCATTTTTGGTCGTTGTTCGGAGAACTAGTTTGCAGAGCTTCCAGATGTCTGCAGATTATGCCCACGAACGAAAAGGGAATTACTTCCGGTTATTTCCATTTCCAAATCAATAACGGGAAAGCAAAACCGATTTCCCCAGCTTTCATAAAAGGAGATAACGGGATAAAGGAGAAAAACTTAAAGAAAAAACGGTCAGCTTTTTAGATTTTGCCAATTCCTTTTGGCTTTTTATTCTTTAGAATTGAAAGACGAAATCAGTTTCACACATGGTCTGGGAGTACGGGTAAATATTTCAAAAATAACAGTCAAAATAAGCATTATGCAAGCCAGAAGATGCAGTTTTTGAGGCATAGAGCTGTCATTTAAATAAAAATTGACCTTTTCATGTTAAAAAGTGATAGTTTATTGTAAAAACATGAGTTTTATTACTGCATGTGCTTTACTGTTGGAACATGAAGCGCCAAAGGATGAATGCAGATGTTGTAAGATAGAAATAAAGGAGCAAAATACACTGTTAAAAAAAAAGGAAACAGGTATACAACACATAACTTAAATTAAACCAAACTTTTGTGAAATCAAACCACCCACTTGGTAAGCAACACTGATTGACAAGAGATTGTGCAAGCTGTTGTGCAAATGGAAGAGACAACAGGTGAAAATTATTGACAATTGGCAAGAAACTCAATAAAGGAATAGTTCTGCAGGTGGGGACAGATGTGTGATGTTTTGGTCACTTTTAAATGTTGGTGGTGCTTTCAGTGGTCAGCTAGAGCAGCTCATCCAGGATGGTGCATCAATGCAACCTGTGGCTAAAAGGTTTCCTGTCTGTCAGCGTAGAGTCCAGAGGCTGGAGGTGCAACCAGGAGGCTGTAGGAGGGCAACAACCCAGTTGCAGGACTGCTACCTCCGTCTATGTGCAAAGAGGAACAGGAAGAGCACTGCCAGAGCCCTGCAAAATGACTTCCAGCACAAACAGTTAGAGATTCATAGGGATGAGGGTTGTACTTTAGGACGCTTGGCATTTGCCAGAGAACACCAGGACTGGCAAATTTGCCACTGGTGCCCTGTGCTCTTTAAAGATAAAAGCAGGTTCACAATGAGCACATGTGATTCTGGAGACAACATCCTTAAGCATTAGGTACTGAGATGTGAGTCCATAAGCTGGTGCGGTTGGCTCTGGGTTCCTCCTAATGCAGGACTATGCTAGACCTCATGTGGCTGGAGTGTGTCAGCAGTTCCTGGGAGAGGAAGGCATTGAAGCAATGGACTGGCCCGGCAGTTTCTCAGACGTGAATCCATTTGAGTATATCTGGGACTTTATGTCTTGGTCCATCCACCAACGTCACGTTGCACCACAGACTGTCCAGGAGTTGTTGGATGCTTTAGTTCAGATCTGGGAGGAGATTCCTCAGGAGACCATCTGCCACCTCATCAGGAGCATGCCCAGGAATGACAATAATTCATTCAGTTCTACGATATATAATTTAAGTGTTCCGTTTATTTTTTTGAGCAGTATATACTTTATGGAGCTTGTGCTCATCAAGCAAACCATTTAAGTCAATAAATAATTGTTCCACTCTGCATTATATTTGTACCCAGGAATACAATTAAGCAACACGGTATATCTATTTAACCCATCTTAAAAGGGTCGCTGTTGGTGAACCACAGGTATTACTCCTGTGTTGTAGCCTATGACTTGGCTTAGACACTTAGACAAATGCATTTATTGAAAATAATGTAATGGATTTGTTACCACACTTAATTTAAGGACAAAACCTGTTTCCTTTTTACGAGTGTAATATTTGATAACTATTAAAACAAATGTAGAATACTTGTTGTGACTAACTATAAGTGAATATACATTTAATAGATAGAAAATTAAATTCTTTATTAAACATAAAATTCACTTTGATGTTTAATATATGGATCTTTGCAGCTTGCCCAGCCTATCCGCCTCCTACTGGAGTACACCGGGACCAAGTATGAGGACAAGTTTTACGTCTGTGGGGAAGGTGATTCAATGTCTCAGCTAACAGATGAACGCATGTTCGTACGCTACCAAAAGCTTCTGATTTCATCCATCGGTCACTTTTCTGTCCCATAGCTCCAGACTATGACAAAACCTGCTGGTTTGGTGAGAAAGAAAAACTTGGAATGGACTTCCCCAATGTAAGTAAAAACACTGTTTTCCTTTTACCAGGTAGCAGGTTTAAGGGTTTTGTTGATGGTAGTTTAATCCCACACCATAGCTGCCCTACCTGGTGGATGGAGACAGGAAGATAACGCAGAGCAATGCCATTATGAGGTACATCGCTCGTAAGCACAATATGTGTAAGTGTTGTTATCTGTAATTCATTAGCCATCACTGTTTTCTTAATTTAACAGTTTTGTTCTCTTAAATCTTAATTCTAAACTTTGGTGAAAACAGGTGGAGAGACTGAGGATGAAAAAGTCCGAGTGGACGTGCTGGAGAACCAGTCCATGGACTTTAGAAACGGGTTTGTGAGGATGTGCTACACTGACCTTGTAAGTTAATAATTCAAACATTTATTAACAGTATTTATTCATGATGGATAAAGCCAACCTCCCTTTCATAAAATCAGGACAAGATAAAGCCAGGGTACCTCACCTCACTGCCAGATACTCTGAAGAGATTCTCTGACTTCCTGGGAGACAGGAAGTGGTTTGCTGGCGATAAGGTAAGTCATCTTATTGTATGACTACTTCTTGTTATACAGTAGCTTCCCAGCAGCTGTAAATTCCACAAATCTGACTATTCATCTTACAATAAAGGTGATCTGTTAAAATGTTATCATGTTTATGGATGCCTGCGCTGCTAAACAACGTTGGAATTTATATTTGAAGCTGTAAAACCAACTCTATGGCCTTTTGTTTGATCCACCAGTAATTCTTCTGCTTTGCATTGGCTGGTCGTTTTTTTTATGCCAGTTTCTGGCTGATTAGTTTCACACTTATGTATATCTTCAAGCACAATCTCTGTCGACAAACCTCTGACCTGTTTGAGTGTATCATTTATAGAAGTAGATTGAAAACTTGGAATTGGAAAGACAATAATAATCCTTCCTTGGAGGAATCCATTGTCTTTGAAATGACAGAATAAATGCACCTGGTTTTATTCAAGCTCACCTATAAATGTTACACATTAACACCAGTAGGAGGAAGTATAGGCCTCCTGTTCTTCCTTTTTGCCTTTCATCCCTTTTCATTCCTTTCTTTGTGTAGTTTTTTTGCTCGTTTATTGCCTCCCATCTACCTCTTAACCCAAACTTTAATTTCTGTCTATCCTTCCCTTAATACCCTATGTGCTTCCTTCTTTATATAATGTCCTCCCCCCAATAGATCACCTTTGTTGACTTCATCATGTATGAGCTGCTGGATCAACACAGGATGTTTCATCCATCATGCTTGGATGACTTTAAGAACCTCAAAGACCTTTTGGACCGTTTCGAGGTGAGAGCACTGTCTAAAGAGGGCTCCTATCTTTTGGCTTGTCTGAAATGATCTTTATGATTTGAGTAAATAACCATCAGTCTGATAAACCGGAGATGATGGGTTGCTTTAGTTGCACTCTTCAGAGGCATAGGATCTAATCACTTTTCTTAATCATTACAGGCCCTTGAGAAAATTGCTGCCTACATGAAGTCGGACAGATTCATGAAGACTCCTGTCAACAACAAGATGGCCAAATGGGGAAACAAGAAGGAGTGAACACTAAACCCACATCTGCCTTAGAAATACAAACTGCTTTCCTTAAGTGGAATTAACTGGAGAAACCTTAAATTCATAAGTAAATTTACCATATTTTTTTGTAATTCTTTATTAACAGTGTGGCAAGGGCTGTACATCAGAAATAGCAGTCAACGTTGTTAGTTTCTTAACCAGATGGAAAATAGTCACTTAATCCTGCAGTGTAGGAATATATGCAAATGAAAACTTTAATTTACGATCAAGCACTTCACATTTTTTGTAATCATTGTTTTGTTGACATAATAAACTGAGTCCCTCGTCAGTCTGATTTCATTCATTAACATCAAACTCTTTATAATAATGTCACATCTTTGAATCTATGTTTCACTTTTCAAGGGTTTGGGGTATATTCATCCCAGTGCATCACAATGTTGCAGCAGAGAATCACATAATAAACATATCAAAGTCCAAGTGTCGTATGACCTGCACCTGATCTGATGAACAGAATTTTTCACATTTAAGGTTTTTTTTGTTTTTGTTTTTTTTGCTGTTTGTAGAAATAATTTTTGAATAAATGGGGACAAAGGGTTTCTGTGTGATACAGATTACACAATGTCTAACAATTCAACACTGCTTCACTCCCTTCATTGAGGATCCCTATATCTGAAAAATGTCTAGATCTGACTGTAGTCTATTAAAAGCTATTTAAAGTGGCAAGACTTGACATTCATAGTCTAATGAAAAGTTTGATTTTGGTCATGCTTAATTATAAATATTGTCTTGGCCTCTGTTGTCCAACTGAGCAAACAAGCAGCTGTCAGGATCCCCTGTAGTTTGCATATCTCCATGGAGTTAGAGTTGAAGATCATACACCTGCTTCAACAAACCCACTGTCATTTAGACAACACAGACAGAGTTGCAATGACCATGTTCTTTGACTTCTCCAGTGCATTTAACACAATTCAGCCTGATTTACTTTGTCAGAAACTCCAGAAGACTGGTGGAGGCACCAACAATCGCCTGGATCAAAGATTACCTGATAAACTGACCACAGTTTGTTGGACTGAAGGGTCAGCTGTCTTATCAACTTTTCAGCAGAACAGGAGCATGATGGGAGAGCACACTCTCCATTCCCTTTAACTCTGTACAACTCTGACTTCCAGTTCCAGACAGACTCTCCTCATGTGCAGAAATACTCAAATGAGTCTTCAGTCATTGGGTGCATCAGAGATGGAGGAGTGGCAGCCTAGTGGTTAGGGCATAGAGCTTGGAATCCTGAGGTTCCGAGTTTGAAGCCCACTGCTACTCTGGGTCCCTGAGCAAAAGACCCATAACCCCACACTGCTCCCCGGGCGCCACACAATTGCAGCCCACTGCTCCCCAAGGGGATAGGTTTGATGCAAAAAACTCATTTTGTTGATCTGTACTTGTGACAGTGCATTGACAATAAAAAAAAAGCTGGAATAAAAGATGGACAACAAGTTGAGTACAAGGAGCCGGTGAACCACTTTGTTGCATGGTAAGGAGCCATCATCTGATCTTGCATGACAACAAAACAATGGAGAGAATCTTAGATTTTAGAAGAAACAAACCATCTTCTATATTTTTAGCGACATCAGACTCCCCCCATTCAGTTTTACAGCCGACGACACGTTTTTTTTAAAGCACAAGATCTGCAGGCAAACTACCGTAGGTATTGCTTAGAAGTGAATGGTTTTCTGTACTTTTTTACAGCTTTTTAGCCCCCAAACTAGTTTTGAAATACCATTTAAAGCTTTACAGATCAGTCTCAAATATCTGGGTTTTCTTCTTCTCAACAACTTTGTTTATATCTAACATTCAAATGTCGGTGAAGAACCTCCATATCTTTTGTGTATCCTACATGAATGTCTAAACAGGATTATCGTAATGTGATTTAAATATGATTTACTTTCAATGAAAATCTGCCATGTATATTTTTTATATGCATTGGGATCCATTACAACTTTTAAAAGGCTGACTTGTATACTAGTAGCACTAAAAGTATTGGTATATTTTAATTCATAAGATTACATTAAAATAACTAAAAAATATATATGAAAATTGGGTTTAAATAGTTTTAATTAATCAAAAAGCTTTGTTTCCATGGGAAACTAGACAGGAACCTTTATAACATATGTAACTCTGAAAAAGGAATCATATTTTTTTTATATTTAAGTCTGGACTTTGGTCAGGCCGCCAGTAATATTAACTTCAGTCAATAAACAAAACAACAACATGTTGGTTAAACTAAGGGGCAATGAATAGCTTCAGTCACCTTTATTTTTGGATTTAGATGAGGGTCGTCTTTTGCGTTCTGCAAAAAAGGTGCCTGCAGGGTTTGTAAATTTCACTTCTGGCCATTTTGGAAGACATTCAGCATTCAAGCAGAGTTATCTGGCTGTAGACATAACACTGCATATATTTGTCTGTATATAGCTGTTTAATTGGGATGATTAGTCCTGTTTTAATATGTAGCTAAGTTTTATCCGGCGCATTCCTATTAGAGAGATTATAAATCAAAATTTTTATTGCCCTCTTCCTTAACTCAGATATTGAATATATTCTCAGTAAGCCCAAGGACAGCTGTGGCTACAATGTAGCTTTCCACCATCAGTGTGTGAGTGTGTGCGTGAATGGGTGAATGAATGTAGTGTAAAGCTCTTTGGTCAAGTCTCCTGACTTGAATAAAGGCGCTATATAAGTACATGCTATTTACCATATTTATTTTAAAGGTGGCTGTAAAAGTATGATTAATTTTGCATTATTGTTTTTACCTTCCTAAGCTTTTTTAAATCTGTTTGCTGCTTTTTACATGTCACCTTGAGGTTTTTTACTTTCTTGATAAGTAGTTAATATTATGAATACATTCAAAAGTGATTGATTCCTACTTGAAAATGTAAATTAATGTATTTTGTTCAATAAAAAAGGGGGAAAAGTGCAAAATAAAAACATTCAAAGGCGACACTTTCTACGTCACATCCGTCTTTTTTAAAGGTCCGCATCATTTGGATGTGGTTACACACCAATAACCTCTTTTACAATAGAATGGTGGGCCCGCGCGCGTTCAGCGAGTGTACCGATACTACAAATGGAGCGCACCAGGTAGCAGTCGGGTCGGTTTGAAAAAAACATTTAAGTCAATGGATACGCCTTCCTGGATACCCGAAATGTTTCTAAAATATTCAGTTAATTAATCATTATTAATCAAAATGACTATATACATGAAGAAAGCCATTAGAAAATATTTGTAGCTCACAGCACACTTCCTAGTTCCGGTGACGTCACCGTCACGACCTTGCATCATTGGTCCTGTCTTATTTGTGAGTTTTTCCCGCGCTGTTCTTGCTAAACTGAACTGACACCACCAGTTTGGGTTTTATTTCAGATAAAGTCTAAGCTGTTTTTGATAAAATGCCCTCGGACTATGATCCAGCGTGTTTGCCAGACTTATTGCCCCTCTACTACCGCCGCCTGTTCCCCTTTGCACAGTATTACCGCTGGCTCAGCTACGGGGGAGGTAAGTGTCCTCCAACAGGCCGGGAAAAGGAGCAGATCTTCGGGCTAGGAAGGTGGGGGACTCAGGGAGACTTGAATGAAGTAGCTCGAAATGTTTTCTGCAGGGAATTAGGTCCTCTGTTCAGTTTCTTAAGTAATCAGAAGAATCATCAGTACTTGAACAAAAAAACAAAACAAACACAACCTTATAACTGTTTATAACACAACCTGTCTAAAATGGAAGCAGGTAAGCTATGTATGATCTGGATATTGACATGGAAACCATGGGTTCCTTTCGGTATATTGTATCGTTAAAAAGGGTTTGCATTAACCCAAACCGATTATATAAAGTTGATCATTTTTGTGGGTACATTTTATCATTAAGAATTCCATCTAAGTATAAAGTTACTTCTGTCTTTTAAAGAGTATTTCGGTTTTGTTTTTAAGGTTCATAATAGGGGATGCCTCTATAAACCTAATATTCCTTTTAGTGCAGAATCCCTTTGTTTATGTTGGCATTATACAAATAATTCAATTCAGTTTATTTATATAGCGCCGATTTACAAAAAAGGTAATCTCAAGGCACTTTACAGTTCACCGAATCATACAGTAAACTGATTCAAAGTTTTCTATCTAAGGATAACCAGCTGATTGCATCGACTCATTGACTCAGATGCAATCCCTTGCACCAGCATGCTTGTAGGGAAAGTCGAGAGGAAAAACTCCCTTTTAACAACCTCCAGCAGAACTAGGCTCTGTGTGAGCGACCATCTGCCGAGGCTGACTGGGGCTCAAGGAGACAGAAGAATAGATAAAAAAAAAAAAAAAAAAAAAAGCAACTGTAAAAGGCGCCATCCAGGAAACACACAGCCAGGCAGACGAGCACCGAGCCAGCTCCGATGTCAGAGGATGAAGAGAGCACATCCAGCCAGTCACGGTCAGAGATACAAAACTACACTGGCCAATCCCCAGCATCTATAAAAAACGGTGTTGATGGCAGCAGCACAGCTGATATTACTCTCCAGGATGGCGCCACAGCCAAACAGGAACAGATGAGGCTACTATGAGAAAAAGCAGAGAGAGCATAACGTTAGAGATTGAACTAACAGATTCTGCAGAGTGGGAGAATAGAGATAGGATGAAGCAGAATGATAAAATAGCAGCCCCTATGTCCTCCAGAAATCTAAGCCTATAGCAGCGTAACTATAGAGGTAGCTCAGGATAACCTGAGCCACTCTTACTACAAGCTTTATCAAAAAGGAAAGTTTTAAGCCTAGCCTTAAAAGTAGACAGGGTGTCGGCCTCATGGACTAAAACTGGTAATTGGTTCTACAAGTAAAGTTAGGCCAAGAAGTAAATACCTAGATATTTGGGAGTCCATATTTGTAAAATAGTTATTTTATATGCTATATATATAATATACATACATACATTTTAGGATAAGTTATTGTTTTCATTTTGCACCACTCTTGGCGTTATGTCCATATATAATATTTGAACAATGAACCATTCTGATGAAAGCTTTGTAGCTGTGATCTTTAAACAGATTTTAAATGTTTTATTGAAACCCCTGTTGAAACTTATGGTTTGTTTTGTTTACCACTTTATCCTAAATCAAAGAGCTGCCAGTATTAAAAGCTGATGTTTAAATATATTTTTTTTCTCCATCCACAGTGCAGAAAAACTACTTTCAGAACCGTGAGTTCTCCTTCACACTCAAGGATGACATCTATGTGCGCTACCAGTCGTTCAGCACACAGAGCGAGCTGGAGAAGGAAATGCAGAAAATGAACCCATATAAGATCGACATTGGAGCAGTGTACAGTCACAGGGTAACCCCTCTCAGTCTGACTCATGCCTCACTCCGTTCATCTATTGTACAGATGTAAAAAAAAAAAAAAAAAACATTTGTGTTTGTTGTCTACAGCCGAGTCAGCACAACACAGTGAAGTCCGGCAGCTTCCAGGCTCTGGAGAAGGAGCTGGTGTTTGATATCGATATGACGGATTATGATGACGTTCGAAGCTGCTGCAGGTAAAACAAATCATGCAACTTGTTTTCTGTATGCTGTAGTTTGGAATTTACTTGATCAAATGAATGATGGATGATTGTCCTTAAATTTGTTTTAGTGCTGCAGATATTTGTTCAAAGTGCTGGACACTGATGACCATCGCCATCCGTATTTTGGACAGAGCTCTTCGAGGTTCACTGCTCATATAATTTCAGCCCAGTTTTTGTGTTAATTTCTATCACAATCAGCTGAAGGTAGATTTTCTTTTGGGTTTTTTTGTGCTCTCTGCAGAGGACTTTGGTTTCCAGCACTTGCTGTGGGTGTACTCTGGAAGAAGAGGAGTGCATTGCTGGGTGTGTGATGAAGCTGCCCGGAAGCTCTCTGCAGCAGCGCGGTCTGCTGTTGCAGAATATCTCAGTTTGATTAAGGTAATGCGATTTCACTTTCCTTCAAATATAACTTTATAATGTAGAGCAAACTTTGGACACATGACAAATTTACAATTAAAGAAATATTCAAGGCACATGAGGCTGCACAATAAATGGGTAAAGAGCAGGTTTATTGGGTGTCAAGAGGAGTTAAATAACTGCATTTATACCAACAACACATTTTTTTAAAGGCACATCACTTCGCTGCTGTTTAATGTCAGACATGACATTGTCGAGTGAAATAAGTACAGTTTTGTCTGGAAGCAGCCTCTACTCAATCAGTGCTTAATATTTATCAATCAAAGAGGACAGCTTTTGATGACGTCATACACACTCCGCTTTTGTTTTAAAAAAATATAACCCCAGATGTCTGGGGGACAGTGGTTCATCTACATGTTATGAATGCTGGCGTACTATAAAGAATAAATTATGAACAGTTTAGTTTGTGCCTTCAAGTCGATTGCTCATAGGAAGACGTTACCTGGATATAACCTATTGGAATATCTTCAGAACAGCTCCAAATGACACAAAACTCATATGGGTGAGTAGGACATGATGTAATAACGAAAAATTAAGGGCCAAATGTAAAAAAAATGGCATTTCCCTTTAAGTTTTATATATCTAGAAATGTTTACACATTTTAAGTGGCCGTTCTGACATTTATCAGCATGACTGAAAATGTATGTCTGAAAAACGTTTTTTTTGTAGTTAAAATAATAGAAATGCCGACCAGTAATATTAGGAATATGGGGATCTGAAATAGATTTCTATACATCCAGAATGTTTATTCTAGATGTGGAGGATGTCATTTTGTTGGAAATGGTCATTTAGACAAAGAAAAAATTTTTCTTTCAGATATCAGGAATACAAACTCATTAAAACTATTAAATATCAAAACAACTTGCCGTAGAGGTGTTGTTGCCTGGAAATATTACAGGATTATTTCTTGAATGGTAGTAGATCAATCTGTCTATTTTGGGGAAATCTTCTAGTAGCAGGTGAAAATGAAGAATAAAAACGTTATAATATATTGAACCTGTGGATCACCTCATGTGTCCCTCGTGTTGATTCAGTCTTCTTCTATCATCCCAGTAAATGGCCGTTATAAGCGGCTATCAGTCCCATAGAATGGCTTCAGATTGTGCCAGTAGGCTCATCAGGTTATCATTGAGTGAATCCTAATCCTAAAGTAATTCCTTTCCCCCCGCGGAATTAATGAATCTATTTATGTGTAATCTGAAAATAATTTCATTAGTTCTTCATGTACTTTAAATATAACTAAAGAAATTAATCAGAATCTCGCTCATATTAAACAAACCAAAAACAAATAAATCTCATGCCCTGTCAGTTGAGTTGTAGAATCCTCTCCCTATAAATATTTCATTCTCAGTGAAAAAGTGCCGATCATTGTTTAATAAGATCCTCATCTACGACAAAAATCTGATTATATCAGGAAATAATAAAATAAAATGTATTTGGACTGTGGGAGGAAGTCGGAGTACCTGGAGAAAACAAACAGGCTTAGGGAAAACATGCAAACGGCGTGCTACAAATCCTTTAGTGTTAACACTAGTATTGTAACCAGAAGTAAAAATGTATTTTGGTCCCGTCAAACAATTAAAAACAATTATTTATATACTTTTTTTTCTTTTTTTGATAGAAATAATACCTTTATTGTGGAACACTCTAGCTATTCTGTAGAAGTTATTTTTGTAAAATTTATCAATTTGATGAAGGTATTGTTGCTTTGAAATGCATGTTATACATACATCATGAATTCGATCCATGCCTTATAAATTAGTTTGATGATGGATGGAGACTTTTGGACATTTCTGTTTAAAATACCAAATACTGGCATAAAACGATGTGAATTTTAACTATAAATACTGATGGAGATGTGTTTACCATTTCTCATTTCCCTTGTGCTTGAAGCAGCTCTTGTTTAATTCCGCTAAAAACACTGAATGCCATTGCTTGTAAGGTTTTAGGACACTAGTGATCATAAATTCTTCTAAAATCATAACTGGTCCATCCTTACATTGAAGGATTACTGTGAACGGGTAAATACTGGGTCAGGATTCTTGAATCACTGTTTTGCAGGGGGGTGAAGAGATGGTGAAGAAAGTTATTCTGACTGATCCTATTCACCCTTTCATCAGGTAAATGTATTTATATTAGTCCCTGCTCTAACTGTGTCTCTCATTGTTCAGTTCTGTTTAAAAGTCTGCGTTTGTGATCTGAACAGAGAATCTCTAGGAGTGGTGAAGCAATACTTTCCTCAATACGCTCTTCACGATCAAGACATACTGGGACGGAAGGAGTCTGTAGACAAAATCCTGGCTCTTGTACCTGAAGATATCCTTTTCTGTCTCCCTATAATGGCTTTGATTAATCCTTTAATATAACAGGCATTTTTATGTGCCGTTTATATTGGGTTTAGAATTAGAGCAAAATGGGAGAACGATTTGACCTTGATTGACTCGCTTACATGTTAGAAGGGAATTACAGCAGTTATTTCAGAATGAGAGGAGGCCAGAGCAACGCTGGAGTCAGATCAAAGACCAAGCCAAGAAGAAACAGGTTAGTTGTTGTTGTCTGGAACAAAACCTGCTTCCAGAAAAGTTGAGAAGGATGTGAATGGACGTTTTGAAATTATTAAACTGTATAAATGAATTTTATTTTGCTCCCTGAGCTCAAAGGAATCTTTCTCTGAGGCAAATAGATTCACCTTTATTTTATATATTTTTTAAAGTGTCTGTTATAAGCTTCTAGTGGCACTACATGAGAAACCCTTATGACAACCGATTGTTGGAGCAAAAAAGCATGGTGCAAGAATGGATGATGGCTAAAGTAAAAAAAAAAAAAAAAAAAAACTGAAGCTGGAAAACGTGTTGCTTAGCAAATCATCAAAATATAAATGGATAAATGGTGGTTTCAGCAGCAGTAGAATTAATAGATCTGTTATATATTTATTTATTTTTTATATAAAAGTTCCTCATACCTTTAGGAATCCTATACTGGTAGGTGGTAATTATTTCATTGTTAATTAGTGTATACTAAAGGGCTCCAAGATAAGAAACAATTGTTTGTCCTTAAGTGTTCAACCTCCCAGCTCTTTTTGTTTTGTTTTGGTTTTTATTCATTATAACCAAACACACTGTGGATGTTTTCTCCTCCAGGCCACTGCCAAAAAGGGGCAACACTTTGAAAAGGAGATCATGCTGCAGTACTGCTACCCTCGACTCGACGTCAACGTCAGTAAAGGTGTTAACCATTTACTGAAGAGTCCATTCAGTGTTCATCCTAAAACAGGTCGGTCAACCTCACATATTCTCACATAGATCACTTGTTATTACGAGGAAAGGTTTTCTGTAACGCCACTTCTCCACCTGGCCAGGGCGCATCTCTGTCCCCATGGAGCTTAAAGATTTGGACAAGTTTGATCCTTTTGCTGTTCCCACAATCAGGTAAGTGATATAGGGAAGTGATGCACTGTAGCATGTGCTGCTTGGGTTACTTTCATTGTTTTTGTTCTTTATTTTTAAGCCTCATATGTGAAGAGTTGGATCGACCCAAGGCAGATGATGAAGATAAAAAGTCAGGCGACACAAAGGAGAAGGAAAATGAAAATGGCGTGACAGAGAAGAGGAAGAACAGAGGTGAAAAAGGGGGAAATTGATCATATATTCAATATATAAATCTAGCTGCTGTTTTTACTTATTTTAATCTCCCAAAAGATTACAAGAGAACCAGTTTGGCAAAGTACGTGAAGTGCTTTGATCAGTTTCTGGATGGAATGGCTCAATCATGGAAAGGAGAACTTCTCAGAAAGAGTGGTGAGTTTACAAACAATAAAGCACAGTTTAAAGGAATAGTACACCCAAAACATGATTAGCCTTCATTTTCTACTCACCCCCATGCTGAACAACACCCTGGAGTACTTTTTTGATATCTCAAATGCATCTGGAAATCTGGGAGGCTTCTTGCTGTCTGCTGACATTCAAATAATGGAGGTCTATGGTGACAGAAAGGTCCATAAAAGTCCACAAAAAACGTGTCAATATTCCTCCATACTGGTCGTCCAACTTCGTTTCGAGTAAATTCTGGATGCTACCCTCTCAGGACACTTGGAATACATTGGACGAACAGTATGGAGGAATATTGAAACGTTTTTTGTGGACTTTTATGGACCTTTCTGCCTTGGGCGCTGGGCACCTCCATTATTTGAATGTCAGCAGACAGCAAGAAGCCTCCCAGATCTCCAGATGCATTTGAGATATCAAAAAAGTACTCCAGAGTGTTGTTCAGCATGGGGGTGAGTAGAAAATGAAGGCTAATCATGTTTTGGGTGTACTATTCCTTTAAGGTCTTAACATTTTTTATGAATTTTTGATGTTTTTCTCTCTTTTTTACTTTTCCCCAGATCTTCAGAAAGAGTTCTGAACAGGGTCATCAATCAGAAAACACATGAAATCACAGTTCCTGTCTTATTCCTTGAAGTAAATGATGATTCCTACTTACGGTTCATTTTGTGGAGATTGTTCATTGTTGACAATACCTACTGACTGAGCCATGCTCTTTATTCATTCATGTTACATTTATGTGTTAAACTAATTAAAGCTGATTTTATTGCTGAAAATATTTGTCTTTTGGCAGCAATCTGCTGCTGTGCAGTGCAAATAAATACATTACATCTCTTTGTAAACCTCTCATCTTTGAACAGTTTCTATATTCCCATCCTTAATGTATTTTTAATCTGACTATAAAATTGTACAAAAACTTATGGCCATCAAACATCAATAACAAGATCAATTACTGCTATTGGTAGAAATTACTTTGGTTAGTTAGCCTGAAAAAATGTGAGATTAAATGTGTAATTTAAACTTGCAGGGAAAAATTATTTTGGCCGCTGGCTGGTGGGGCTAGTTTACTAGGCTATTGGTTAGTGGCAATTCATGACAAAGTATATTAATAGATGGGAGTCGCACTTTGCATGTACTTTGTTTGACGGACTCATTAACCCTTTATAGGGGAAGTTACTGTTTTTAAACCCCACAAACTGAGTCCCCCGCCATCCATCAGTGAGGTCTACAAGCACAAGATTTATATCTAGCCAATCAGCAAAGATACATGGCTGTACATATTTTTTTTCCGCATTTGACAATGTAGATCAACCCTTGAGTGATACATTACCTACTGTTAATTAGTTGAAAAAAAGTTCAGTAGCCATTTTCTTTTAAGTAAAAAATTAAGTGTCTGTATCAGCATTAATGGTCTAAGCATAACCTTCGACCAAGTGACAATTTCCTATTACATTGACCTTCAATTTTGCCATTAAAACATTTATTGAATGTTACAAAAGTAATAAGGGATTGTCCTGTCCTCTAATAATACTATTGGCTTGAAATTTTGATTTTGAAAGTATTTCACTTAGTGTTAATTCAAGAAAGAAAAAAAAATCAAAGTTTAATTTTATTTCAATTTATTAATAGTTAATAGGTGCCCTATTCTGAGCATTAAGTCAGACTATGGCAGAAAACAGGCCGCCCTTATAAAAAAAACACCAACAGGTCTTGGTAGTAGTTTTTTTTTTTTTTTTATTAGTAAATAGTGTTACCTTAAGAAAAATATATATTGATATATGTTTATTCCATAGTACACAAATAAAAGGATTATAAATAATAGAGGGTGTAGATATTTATTTGTTGTTGCTGTAGCTGACCCGGAAGTAGAAGCCTGTTCTCCACCGGATATTGTCACCAACCTGAGGTCAGCACTTCCTCTCTCACAGCCATCTTGGAAATAGCGTCCAGAGTCGGTGAGTTTCTCCGCTAACAATCCGTCTACATCCACCCTTTTTCCGCCGTATTCAACCCCTGCGGTGGGTTTTATCTGTGTGGTAAAAGTGCGGCTATTAGACAGTTCCAAGTATTACTCTTTAAAAAGTATCATTCTAAGGGAATTCTGCTGTTGTTAGCGCGGGCTACCGGTTCAAAATGGGGGAGCATGATGTAAAACAGACCGCTGGCAGTCTGTCAGGGCCGCAGGAATCATTTTAGCCCGATATATTAGTTTAAAGATGGTGACAACCACCTGGTTTGTCACGAAACGCGCATAACTGTCAGAAAATATGTGTAATTACCAATGCTAGCGCTATTAGCGTCTGGCTAACACTCTAGCTAACGACATTCTCGATGTTTTACAGTGTAGATGGAGAGCTAAAGCATGAGCTCCGGCACCTGTCCAGTCGATCTATTTTGACTGCTGTGTATCGAATGGTTTCAGATCGCTGAGAAATGAACCAATGTTTGTGTTTGTCATTACCAGCGACCATGCCTGGCGAAGCAACAGAAACGGTCCCAGTCACCGAGCAGGAGATGCAGCAGCCTCAAGCGGAGACTGGTTTGTATAGCTTGACTACTCAGTTTCGCACGCTGTTGTTCTGCATATTGTGAAGCGGGGTGTTGGATCTTACACAGGTTAGCCATCTGTCAGCAAGTGGATGTTAATCGTATTGAGAAGTTTGTTTTGGTTCTTGATTGTTTTAGGGAATAGACTATTGATTTCTAATGTGATTCTTATACCTTTACAGCTCATGTAAAATGAGATCTGCTAGCCTATTCGTCCATTTGGGTATTAGAAGTGGTGGTTTAATGTTTACCATTGTAATCCAGGACCCCTCTTTCACTCAAAGTCACAATGGAGTGTGATCACATTGACTGGCTGACTGGATTTTGCACACAGTGCATGTTGAGTGTGTTTGTGTGGTTGCACATGACCACTAATGTCTACTTTAGTGACCCTGTCTGTTGCACTAACAGAATTTGGTGTGTGGTTTTGATGTTTAGATAAACTTTATTTAGTATGAATTTGGGATAGGTAGAGCTTAAGTTCTTCTTTTTAGTGTTATGGATCGACCTATGCTTTCTGACAAGTAAACATGTCCTTGACTGTGATATTACTCCTGCAATTTGATTTAGAACATGTTTACCAAGAGAACAGATCACTGGGTGTGTATACAATCCCAATTGTACTTTTATCAAAAATACAGTCACACCTTACCCATAATGCTTTCCAAAAACCACACCTATAGTAGTGTCTGTGTGAAAATATGAATTAACCTTAACCTAACATTTTGTTAAACAATGCATCCAGCTTGTAAAAAAACAAAAACATTTTTTTTCCTCCATCAAAGTGATATGACAGGAATCCTCACCATTTTTTTTTACTGTAGTTTCATAGAATAACATGACTGCACAGAACTGTTGCAATCTCATGTTGATTTCAGGCCACATCAAACCTTTGTTTTCACACAAGTGGCACATAGTTCAAGTCAACGATCTGTAATATTTGGTTGTGTCCGCCGCCGCCCCCCCATATACACACAAAAAAGCCTAAACTGTCATCACGGCTAAACTGCATGGAGTTCAGAACACAATCACCATTTGATCACATCCTCTAGTTTTACACTCTCCTCTATATTCCCTGTAAAGCACATTTGGCCGCTGTGCTTTTATTAGTCCTTAAGTTAGCTCTTGTACCTCCTGTCATATGTCTTGCTCTTCCTCTGTCAGCTGCTGGAGTTTTGAATGCTCCTCTTCCTTCCACAATGAGTCAAAATACTCCTCAAGCCTCTGTACCTGCCCAGGAAATGGGGTTGGAAGAAGAAACTCCCACTCCGGTTTTCTGTGATCAAGCTAACTGTATAGCTGGAGACCAAGAAGTGGGCGGCACACATGCAACAGCTGCTGTGGAGGAAGGGTCTGCTGGTCCAGCAGCTCAAGAAGAATTTGACCCTATAGCTTTCTCGAGGCCCCACGTGGCTACTGCTAGAGACCAGCGAGGTGACCCCTTTGTTATGGCTGAAGGATTATCCACACAAAAGCTCACTTTTGATTCTGTCCACTCAAAGGCATCTGGAGAAGAGTCAGATGTGGATGTGGTACAGGAAGATGGGATGAGTGCTTTACACCAGACCCCTCTTGATGGTTTAATGAATCCATGCAAACAAGCAGGTGGAAATGCAAAGTATCCTGATGCAGGCCTGGAAGAAACTTGTGATAACACACCTACCTTCCTTCATGATAAATATGAAATCCCACCAGTTTCCACCTGTCATCCCTCAGGTTGGTTTATCCTCCATGAGAACCAAGCCTGTGTTTCTTTTTTTTTGTCTTTTCTTATAGTTTGGGCAAATCATTAAATAATAGAGCGATTTATCGTATTTTCAGGGTACCTTCTATTGCACTATATATTTAGCTTATGAATTGTGGCACAAATTGAACTGCAAAGTCACTTATGTTTTTTTTTTTTTTTTTTTTTTGTTTACTCATACCAAGTTCATTACCCATTCAAATCCCTACAAAAATAGAATACTATTTAAAGTATTTCCAGTTTGGGTTGAGTAAATTTCTCCACTAAGGGGATACAAACCATTGTTATAGCTATTCATTGAGTTTGTAAACACAATTTTTAAGTCATTAAAACATGTTTTAGTGGTTTTTCTTTCCAGTTCTATTTAATTCTGTCAAGTCAAATCCCAAGCCAAGAAACTGGAAACATGGAAATCTACCAATTCTTACAAACTGCCTATTTCAATAGAAAAAAACTAAAACAAAAACGCAAAGTTGTTAGAAATCTCTGTCAAACGTTTGAAAATTAAGGTTCACTCAGATCTGTTTATAAACGGTATGCCTGGAGCTAGCCGGCTAGCAGATGTGACTCTAAAGCCTTAAGTAAACTTTTCTATCAAAGTTTTATAAAGGGGGTGATGGAAATATAGGAACATTTGAACTAGATGTGCTCCTAGTCGTACTTTTAATGGGTCAATTCAAGGAATTATGCTTCTAATGCCTCATAGGTGTAGCGCTTTGTGTGAAACTATTGTATCATTAGCTGTGTCAGACTGGCTGAGCAGGTCAGACCACAGACTCACCAGAAGTGGCAGCAAGTGGTCAGTCACCGATCTTTATTTGGTAATGTGGTGGAAAAGATTTAAGAAGTTTAGGTTGAAGGAATTTCCATATTAATTAGATTACAATATCTAGTTTTAGTCTTGGTCATAGTGGCAGCAAAGAATGACCAACTAAATTATTTCTGATGTTTTTTTTTTTTGTCAATTATGATTGGAACCCTACATTTTAATTACCAATCAGAAGTCTTTACCCATTTGCAAGATTATGTTATTTACCGGATATTTGAGGATCCTTATTGGTAATATATTTGCGTGTTAAGCAACATCTTACAGATATGTTGTCTGATAAGATTAAGACTGTTTTTGTGTAAACCTGTGGTTTGCATTTTGTCAGTTTGCATATGAAGTTAAAGGAAGTTTGCCCTTTTTCCTAACCTACGCACGATGCGTGCCTTTGTTTTGAGTGTCCAACCCGCATGTCACAGCTTGAACTGGGATAGAATTTTAAAAGAATTTTTTTCCCCGTTCAGCTCCACCTCCTGTCCAAGCTTCCACCAAGCACCCTCAGGTAGCCAAAGGCAAAGATGCCAAGAGTGGGCAGGGTTCTTCTGCCCCAAAGGCTGTACCTGGCAGAAGAAAACGTTCCTCTATGTCTGCTTCTTCTTCCTCACCTACTTCACCTAAATCTACTCCCTCTTCTACTCCTCGGTCACCTGTGGTGTCCCCTCTTGCCTTATCTACTGCCAGCTCTCCTGCTAATCGTCCCACTCCAAAAGTGGTTAAGGCTGGCAAACAAGGAAAGGCTAAGAAAGGAGAGTCCTTTGAGCCTGCTCCTGTCCAGGTAGAACATAAGGTTACTGAAGTAAAGGAAAAGCCGAAGGAGTCTGTGGCTTCTGAAGCTAAAGTGCTACCAGTTGAAAAAAAATCTCAGGCACCTCCTGCATTCAAAGTCACTCCAAAGCCTGCTGCTGCAGCCCCAATTTCCTTTTCAGATACTATTGCTTCAAGCCCCCCAAAATCAGGTTTCTCAAAACAACCACCTCTTACAGTTGATGATGAGCTCCCTCCACTTATTCCACCTCAGAAGCCTGTTAAAGAGCCTGTCTCTGCACCTCCTGTTGCCAAAGAGACTGGAAAACCTGCTGGGTCTCCTCCTGAGCAAAAACCTCAAGGTGGATCTTCTGGTCAAGCAGAAGTCACTAAAGCCAAGACAAGTACTGAACCCAAGCCTTTGCCCATTGAAGCTCCTATGGCAGCAGTCCCAGTAAAGTCTGTAGCTAAAGAGCTCAAGAAGTCTGCTGCTGGCAAGACTGGCCAGGACAAACCTGCTGGTGGGGCTGCCAAGCCAACAGATGAGACTAAAGTGATCTCCAATATGGCTACTAAACAGGCTAAGGATGGTAAAGTTTCACAAGATACTAAGCCAAAAGCAGGTGCAAAGTCTGCACTGGCTGATACAGTACACCAGAAAGCTGAGCAGATTGATCCTAAAGAAACAGCTGCTGAGGTACCCAAACAGGCCAAACCCATGGCCACTGAGGCACCTAAAACAGCTCCTGAGACTACTAAAAAGGCCAAACAGAAGGCTGCAGAGGCACCCAAGAAGGCAACACCCACAGTTGCTGAGGCACCTCAGCAGAAAGCTTCTGAGGCCACAAAAATAGCTGAAACAACTCAGGAGGGCAAGGCGGCTGCCTCTGAGCCACCCAAGCAGCAGGCCAAGGTGACGGAGGCCACACCCAAGCAGCAGCAGGGCAAGGCGGCTGCCCCCGAGCCGGCGCCCAAGCAGCAGCAGGGCAAGGCGGCTGCCCCCGAGCCGGCGCCCAAGCAGCAGCAGGGCAAGGCGGCTGCCCCCGAGCCGGCGCCCAAGCAGCAGCAGGGCAAGGCGGCTGCGTTGGAGTCGCCCAAGCAGCAGGCCAAGGTGACGGAGGCCGCACCCAAACAGCAGCAGGGCAAGGCGGCTGCCCCCGAGCCGGCGCCCAAGCAGCAGCAGGGCAAGGCGGCTGCCCCCGAGCCGGCGCCCAAGCAGCAGCAGGCCAAGGTGACGGAGGCGGCACCCAAGCAGCAGCAGGGCAAGGCAGCTGCCTCTGAGCAGCCCAAGCAGCAACAGGGCAGGGCGGCTGTCCCAGAGGTGCTGCCCATGCAGCAGCAGGCCAAGGTGACAGAGGCCGTGCCTAAGCAGCAACAGGGCAAGGCGGCTGTCCCCGAGGCGGCGCCCAAGCAGCAGCAGGCCAAGGTGACGGAGGCTGCGCCCAAGCAGCAGCAGGGCAAGACGGCTGCTCCCAAGTCGGTTGCCTCTGATGCACCCAAAACAGCTGAGGCTCCTCAACAGATCAAGACTGAGCCCAAAAAGGTTGAAGCCAGTGAGGCACCTAAGCAGGCTGCTCCTGAGAAACCGGCAAAGCAGAAGCCTGATGAGGCCCCTAAATCAGCCAAACCAACTGCTGATACACCCTCAAAACCTGCTCCGGTTGAGCCCATAGTTCAGCCCCCAACTCCCCGTAAACTTACTTTTGCAGAGGCAGTTGCAAAGCCAGCACCTGTTAAACCTGAGGCTGAGAAAATCAGCGCTGCTCCCTCTAATCAAGTCTTGTCTCCTAAGCCTGAGCCAACCTCAGCCAAGTTGGAGCCTGTCGTCAAGATCGACAATGGTATTCTGCTTTTTCTTCCTTTAATGCCGTCTGTTTTTCCAGCCCCTTGTTCTGGAACTTTCTAACATGGTTAAATATGCCTTACACCACAGTCTAGTTTAGAGGGTTGATATTGTTAGCGGTATTTCGTTAGGGGTTTTGTTCTTAGTTTAGCAGAGTGCCATTCCATTGCCTGTTGGTTACTATAGTTGTATGTGCAGCGATTCCCGTTGGCGTGTTCAGCAAGGTCTAAGAGGAGTTTGGTTCTCAACAGAAGTGCTTAGATTGATTTGGGGTAGATCTCTATCTGTGCTACTTTTGTTGCAAAGTGCAAACCAACTTGTGGTGTTTAACCTTTTTAAAAAATATTTTTACAGCTTATCTCAAAACGGATTCAGATTGTTCTTTGTAAAACAATGTATTATTGGCTTCTGTAGGATCTGGCACAGAGTCGGACAGTGATGACTCGGTTCCTGAGCTGGAAGAACAGGACTCTGCACAGACACAAACACAACAAGCTCAGGTAAGGATGAAGTCCATCCTTTGGTTTAAATTGATCGCCCCATCTTGAGAGCATGTCTTTCTTCTGTGATGATTAACATAGTGACTTTCGTTCTTCTGAGATCACTGAAGCCACTCCTATGTCCTGAGAAGAACTGTTTTCCCATGTTTTTCCTTTTTCTAATTGTACACACTGTCCTAATCTGTGTAACTTTTACTCCTTATAGCTTGCAGCAGCTGCTGAGATAGACGAGGAGCCTGTAAGCAAAGCTAAACAGAGCCGCAGTGAAAAGAAGGCAAGAAAGGTAAGGAGTGTGCCTTTTTATTTAGCCGAATGCAAACAGGGACTTCATGATTTCAGCCACATCTGTAACACTGTTAAACATGTTTACAGGCAATGTCAAAGTTGGGGCTTAGGCAGGTAACGGGTGTCACCAGAGTCACCATTCGCAAGTCAAAGAACATCTTGTTCGTCATAACCAAACCAGACGTCTACAAGAGCCCTGCATCAGACACATACATCGTCTTTGGGGAAGCTAAGGTAACCTACCTGACAAGAGGCAAACTATTTTTATTTTTTTTTTTTGTACTTGCATAGATTATATTAAATGTAAACAATGATTTGCACTATTATGAGCTTTGTCCATTATGTTCTCCTTCAATCATATTAAAATTAATGAAAATTATTTTGAGACTGGATATTTAAGATAACAAATATGCAATTTAACTTTTTTTTTAAAGTCACCTCGGCTTCAATGTTTGCGTAAAGTGAAAAGAAAAAAGAAAAATCAGATAATGCTGTTTTCATGATTTGTTGTGAATATGAGAGCTGCATGTCTTTTGACAATGTTGTAGCTCAACCTACTTCTGTAGCCACCCATGCCTTTTTTTTTTTTTACCGCCATGTTGCCATTTTCCTCTTGGCGGTCTGTATATACCCAGCGCTTTTGTCAGCGGTTTGGGTATGCTGTACCAGTGTTGGAGGACCACCAAGAGGCCATGCGTCTGTACTACAGCATCTCCATTGGTGCTGTGTAAACACATGCAGAGGCAATTTTCGTCTTATCTAGAATCGCTTGCTCAGGTGAAACTGACAGATTAACACAACAGTGGCTGGAAGTGGGCTGCCATTCGACTGGCGTTTGACTGGGAAGGACCATTTTGAATGGCTGCTACTGTACTTCTGTGACATTTAAACTGTTCTTGCTGTTCTTCTTTTATTTTTATTTTTTTATCTGCCATGTTTGTCCTGAAACATTGGTGCAGACTAAAAAGTGAAGCCATACACTGCTGATGAGCTTGTCGTACTGCTAACGGCAGAGGATTCTACACAAATGTTGCTGTTTGCAAGAAAATATTTAGACATCTGAAAAAGGAGGATGCTTTAAAAAAAATTGTCGATTGATTATATTGATAAATAATTTCAGAAGTCATTAATGTTGTTGACCTGCGGCTGCAGTCGCACCATTTACGGATGCAGCTGATGGTGTCAAAAAGAGCATTAAACTCTACTCATCTTGCGGTTTTATTTTTTCCCTGATTTTGTATTTCTGCGCCACAGATTGAAGATCTTTCTCAGCAAGCCCAGCTGGCTGCTGCAGAAAAGTTCAAGGTACAGGGAGAAGCTACAGCAAAGATCCAGGACAACACACAGACGCCGACAGTACAGGAGGAAAGCGAAGAGGAAGAGGCAAGTTGGAGTTTTGCACCAGAGAAAAATTAAGCCATGTGATCCAAAAAGGGGAGAAACCTAACAACACTGTCATTTTATATCTAGGTCGATGAGACCGGAGTCGAGGTGAAGGACATCGAACTTGTAATGTCACAAGCCAACGTGTCGCGAGCGAAGGCTGTACGGGCCCTGAAAAACAACAATAACGACATTGTCAACGCTATTATGGTGAGAATTCAAACATGTTTATTTGTTAAAGGTGAAATCCATTAGTCATTCATCCAAGGTGAATTTCTGGTCCTACCTATTCATGACTCTTCAGTGATGATTTATCACAGTGACTTTCGTTCTTCTGAGTCTACTGAAGCTAACATTTCTGTCCTGAGAAGAGAGAACTGAGAAAAAAAAAAAAACATGTTTGAAGCTTGTACTAACCTGGTGTTTCTGTTGCTTTGCAGGAGTTGACAATGTAATGGGATCCAGTCTGCAGGATCGAAGAAAGGTTGCCGTTTAAATCTGAACTCGTTTATACGATTTATACCAAGATGGAAATAAAGTTGTGTCTTGATGAAATTAAAATCTGGTAATTGTTGATATTTTTGGGGGAAATGAGTGCTCTGCATTTTTTTATGTATGATGCCTGATGAGATGGACATTAAGGCCTTTATGCTCAGTGATCCTCGAAAAATTCTTAAATCTGACATTAAGATTTGGAAACACAGATGCTAACATATTTTGAAAACTGACAGATTTTCAAAGGTATATCTTTTGAATAAAGATCAGTTTTTCTCTCTGCAGTGATATGGCCAAATTACTTGAACGCATTCAAATTTGCTTTTCAGAGTGAAAAGTATGCACAGTTGTAGTTAATATCTGCAAATTAGAAAATAGTTATTTCACTGTTAAACTCATATTTGCCTTTATGTCTCTTGTTTACATTATAAAGACCAAAGGAGTTAATCTTCCCCCAGTGCATTAAGCCATAGGAATAAAAAATTGATGAAGGCTGGATAATATGGTTCCGTCACACAGCTCAATCCTATGATAGCCTGGCTTTTTTTTCCCTCACACTAGCTTTTATATGCTGGTGAAGACTCCTCTGGGTCACAGTCATTCCAAAAATTTATAAAATGTCCACAGTACTTGTTTCCAAGTTTGAAGATGTTTCGCTTCCCATCCAGGAAGCTTTTTCAATTAAAAATGTCAGAATTAGCTTAGAGTTTGAAGCTTTGAGTGGACCAAAAACAAAGCCTTTGTTTGGCTTAGAAAATATGCAAAATGAACCAGAAGAACCGTCCGCCCCTTAGGAATGGGGAGTCATTTGGGTTCTTTTTTAGATTTTATATGGTACAATTAAAAATGGAAGGAGACTGGAACAAGGTAACGGAAGAAGTGCTGACTCATCCAAAATATGCCAATTTGAAGCCAATTGTGTACGGAATCAATAATGTGTTTGTAAACGCTGTCTTTTATTGAGTCATTCAGAAATCAAATTCAAACCCCTTAGAATTTCAGAGTAAATCAATGCTCAGTCATAATTGCTTCGCTGTTGTACCTCTCAGAGGAAACCCTTTCGAGACTCGTCAAAAGCACAACAGGTAGGATCAGAGAGTCTTCATTAGTTTGGACCTTGGTTTGTATTTGGGGTCTAGATCGGTGTTTGATTTGTTGGCTCGCCACACCTGGCTTAAGGGGCTGATGGCCTCTGTTCCAACCTCTGTCATCTTAAAGAAAAACGTCCAGCAGAATCTGCCTCTGTTGGCAGCTTCGGTCTCGTGGGGAATAAGCCAGTAAATAAAAGCACAGGATAAAGTCGAGTTGATGGCTTCACCCCATGAAAGAAACATAATTGAATTTGATCAGATCCATTAGTTTGTTACTCAAACTATTTAGTGAAGTGTAGACACAAAATACAACATCCAAGCAACCTGCTGCTATCCAATACCTCACCTTTTGAAGCTGCTCTATGACTTTCTTTTGATGTTAATAGTGTGGGTGGTACCTGTTAGGATAATTATCATTGATTGAAAATTTGGCCTCAAAACAACGTCATATGTGTGGAGCACAGCCCATTAAATCCCCGGACTCCTGGTTAAAAGTTTCAGGTCCATTGATCATTCCCATGATTTTTTACTAAAGTTGCTCATAGAAATGTGGCTCCTGCAGCCACCTGGAAACTTAACCCTACAGCAAAACAGACTTGAGGCATATTATCTTCTGATATCCAGCTTGAATTCCTTTTTTTTACTTTCATGTCACATAAAACTATGTTAGAAGTGTAGCATCAAAGTAATCAGTGATTTGCCTAAATGTGCATTGTCTATAAGGATATAAAGTTTTGAAATCTGGTGTTCTTTGATTTTTTTTCTATTATTATTTAATTGGATAGCAACCTCAGCCTAAGGGAGCTAAAACAAAAAATAAACTCTGGAATTTTGCTTAAATGTTTTTGCTTATCCAAACAATAAAAAAAGAAAAAAATATATATCGTCTGTAGATATTTGGATTATGCCACACATTTTAGTTATATGTTTGTCTCAAAAACTACCCAACAATCATCTTATTTTTGTGTTGAACTGCTTGTGTCACATAAAATACATTATTTTCCTGGTGTTCATGGTAAAACGGGTAATTTTAAAACGACCTCGTATTTCAAGAAGATTACATAGGCTTCAAAAATCTGTAACTGCTAAAAAATTATGGAGAAAGAAGCAGAAGGGAAGAGATCATTTATACTAGATTAAGAACTGGACATACCTACTTGAATAAGTTTTTGTTTGTACTAGGGAAGAGAAATAATGATATATGTGACGGTTGTGAAAGAAAAGAAAATGTGGATCATTTTATATGGATTTAATTACATATGCAACTGAAAGAGAGAGGATGAGGAAAGTAATTGTGGAAAAAGGGAGAGAATGGAATATTAAGGAATTTTAGGGACAGCTGTGTAGGGAGGACACTTTAGTTATAAATAAAGCATTTTTTTTTTATATTACACAAAAAAAATATAGTGGTTTGAACTATAGAGCTACACACTCATGTACAGTAGGTGGCGGTACGCACCTATAAATTGTTTGCAATCCGCCATATCAAACAAAGAAGAAGAACTACCGCCCTCCGTTTCCATGCCCCGCCCCCTCGCCTTACTGGCAGCCGTAGCTGAAAGCTCTAGAAACATCCAGCACGCTTTCCAGTGCGTTAGCCTTGCTATTCTCATTCCAGGATACGCAACATAATCCGGAGTACAGTACACCAGCTAGCAGTTTTTGCCCGGGTCGTGTTTTAACAGGAGCATCATTTCGATAATAATCACCGCTGTTCTTCCAACAGGGCTGCTCTATCTGCTGTAAAGAAGCCTAATTCCCACTGAGACATGTAAGTAATGGAGGAGGAACAGGGGGACGCAGCAGGAGGAAAGTGAGCTAGCTCGGTATCGATACCGTAACGTGCTTTTTTGCAAAGGCGGGAGCTCTGGCCTTTTCTATAAACTGAGAGCTCGTTAACGTTAACTTAATAGTATTATATGGGTGTGAAAAGGCCTGTCCGTCCTCTAAAAATTGCGCAGTTTTCCCGCCATCTGCAGAGAAGTTAGTAGTTATTTTTTATTTTTTGCGTGGTCACCGCATGGTTTGCCAACAGTGAAGGCATTAGCCTCGTTAGCATTGCTAGATGAGCTCATTGAGCTTTCTGGAAGGCTCAGTCATTAGATGAGCCTCAGAGCAGTGAAAATATTCAGGATCTTTGCAGTAAATAGAAAAATTATGGTTTTAACAGCAAATACATGCCTATAACTTCTACTCTATTTCCAGATTATTATTTTTTTAAGAAACTTTTCTGAAGAATAACTACACTATCTTGAAGTAGTTTACCTACCCCATACCATCTTGTGTTATTTTTTTTTTGCAAGTGTTTAAGGCAGATTATCTGTCTTTCATATAAACATGTCTCTAACATAACAGTTGAAATCTGATATAGAGCTTTTGTTTATGCAATATTCTTTCGTATGTTTTATTTAGCATGGCAGGTGAGCCCAAAGTAGACCTAAGCATGGATTTTGGATAGAGGTCGAAACATTGAACTAGTTAAAGCAGAGCAACAGGACAGACTGGAATAGGCTGATTTCATTATCAAAGATCTTAACCAATAATACTTAGCTGTGTTGTTTGAAAAAGGATATTTAAAATCTGTTGTATTTGCAGAGACTCTACGAATGATTAATGAATCCGGCTTTCATTTCATGTACTCTGTGTACAGACATTAAGATGAACTGTATAAGCTTGCTAGAATGGAAAATAAACACGATTATGTCATTTTTATCAACCCAAAAACACAATGACAGTTTTCCTTATTAAAAAAACAAAGCAGTTGGTAACTGCTGGTGTATTATGAATAAAACAAATGACATTTTAATTGGACTGCTGCTTGGGCATGCACTGATGTTTCACTTTGCTACTCTTGTCAGTGAAGAGGCTGTAACCCGAGACTCTGACAGCCTGACACTAGTTTAGGTCGAGAACCATCTGTTGTTCCTACAGGCATCAATGGTAGAAAGGCTTGGTGTCATTGATAGAGGCGGTGTCTGTGATCACCTCTGTGATGCTCTTAAAAACTTTTCATTCATACAGAATGAAAGTTGTCCTCTCTATAGACCCCAGAACATTAATAAATAATACAGGGCTGTGTATCATAGTGGACTGTGATACGGTTTTGTAATTAGATTGGTTAAACCTGGTAATATTCATATTCTTTGTGTTTTTGTTTATCTTTCAGGCTTCCAGCAACAGCCAAGTGGTATGACAGGAGGGACTCTGTTTTTATAGAGTTCTGTGTGGCTGACAGCAAAGATGTGAAAGTTAACTTTGATAAAACAAAGTGTGGATTCAGGTATGAGTCCATATCTGGGTTTTTAATACACCATGCTTAAAATATTGTCCAAACTTCAACTTACTCCTTGCAAATTGTCTCCTCAGCTGCCTTTGTGGAACCGATAATGTCAAACACGAGAACCAAATAGAACTGTTTGAAGCCATCGATGAAAATGTAAGCTACAGCATCTTTTATTCAGTGGGTATTTTGAAATTCCAAGTGGGTTTCATGAAAATTATCTCTTTTTTTCTTCTTTTCTCTCATTGCAGGAATCCAAACACAAACGCACAGATCGTTCAGTTTTGTGCTATCTACGAAAAGCACAGCCGGGAAAGGCGTGGCCAAGGCTCACAAAGGAGAAGGCTAAGGTCAGTCATATAGTGCTGTACAGTTATTTATCAAAAATAAATTCACAACACTATTACATCAATAATAAAATAAACAGTATATGTCATGGTCCTAAATTCTTTTGTATTCGTTTTCTATTTAATTGGTGAAATGAAACTATACAACTTTCCTGTTGTACTGCTATATTGGCTTGAGATTTTAATTATAAACTTAAGTTATAGATAGATTTTCTACACATACAGGAGAATTTGCAGTTTAACAAAAAAAAAAAAAAAATTAACCTTTCTGACAGAGTTTAACCTAAAGCAGAAAAGACATATTGACTCTGTGATCAGAGCAGAAAATGAGAATAACCAAGTTTTGAT